GAATTGCTTTACTGATTGGATCAGATTGGTCTCTTAAGTATCGAGGCTGGAGTAATACAAAAGTTATCTGTTGCAACCTAAACGATAATTTTGCTGGATTATGTTGTTAGTGAAAAATACTGTTTGTGCTGCTCCTCCAGTACTAACTTTAGCTGCTTCAAATATCTTCATGACAGCAGAGGAGATCTCTGGACCAATTCCATCCCCGGGGATTAAAGTGACAGTGTGAATCTGTAGGGCAGAACAAAAAACACGTATCAGAAAATAATAATTATGCACAGTGTAAGACAAGCAATAAGTAACATCACATTTTGTGTGTAGTTCTTCAGAAAAAACACATACCCCACGCACATACGTCCTGGGTTGTGGAGATTCTGTCCTCAAAGCTCCAACCACCCGCGACACCTGACAGGCACAAATAAAACAATTCCCCCCCACGTTTTATCAATGTTGACAGCATATATAAAGTGTATACACAGAGTCATATAAAGTGTTTTATTGTGTATTTTCAAAAATAGTAAGAAAAAGCAACATTAAATAAAGTAAATTAGTAGAAACTAGTAAATTGAGCAAATCTTATTGAGAAAACAGAACATACCAGAATGGTGATGATCTGAGAATTAAGAACTTGTGTTTCATAGAATAGACTACTTGATCTGGATAACTGTTCACATGTAATGCACTTTATGACCAAAAGTAAAAATACATCTGTTGTGCCAATCCTTGGTCACTTTAGGATACCGCTTTCAAAAGCACATGAAAGCAGTACAATGAGATTAAACGTACTATTATTTATAGATAGATAAAGCATGACATGGGAGCAATCTGCAAAGGCCATTCTGGAAGACGAGACTCAATCCAGTTCACAGCAGTGGACGTCATTAATTGTTAATATGTAAGCTGTGTTGAAAGGGTCATTTTATAATATATCTATTCAGTGTAAATGACTATAAACACAGTTACTTGCCTTTGCCGATGATACACAGCAACACCACAAGAGAGGGAGATGTAGATCACCAGTAGGAAAAGTGAATCAAGAGGTCACCTTTAGCACAACTGACATCTAACAGGCGCTCCGACTAGCAAAACAGTATGCCCATTCCAGATTTGAATAACAGTTTTACTGAGGGAAATTGCTAGCTAGCATTAGCTCTTTTCGAAATACGTTTGCTTAACTTACTTCCTGAGCCTCGATTTTATCCTTGCCATTGATGGACAAACCCCACTGTCTTAGTAGGTTAAAGATCTGTAGATAAGGGACATTACATTGACATTTCGTTTAAATTGAACAATGACCTATAAAATGAATCTTAAAACAATGTATGATAGAATAAAACATGTAGGTTGCTGCTAGCTAAGCTTTCCTTTTCGTTCAATACTACCTAACTAGCCATCTAGCACTACAGAGTCAGGTTGCTATAGTAACTCCAAACAAGTAGCTTTAGCGCCTAGCTAGGTGAACTGTCACTGGAATGCCGGAAGTCTTTCACTTTGTGAACGACAGTCAAATAAGCTAACGTTAGGTAGTTTATTATAATACAATGACATGCGTTTAATGCAACGATTAACATATTTCCCCGTAAATACCGTTGACCTCCACGCCTTTCCTGCCATCCTTTACTAGCCAAGGTCGATGCAGCAGCGCCAGCTGTGAAGCTAACAACAGAACAAAGCGGATATCCGCTCTGAACCAATGTGTTTTTCAAAATAAACCCTTTAATACATTTAAATCCTTTTACATAATTTGTACTTTTAAAAAAACGTATTATTATTTTTGGAATAGCTTCGTTCAGTTATAGACTATTTTTAATACATAATTTTATGTTTGCAAATTGCAAAAGAAAAAGGTTGCCGTTGCTCTTATTTTGGACATCTTCCGGGGATTGTACTGAGATGTCGGTGAATTTCTGTGTAGTGTATGGTACGGTGGTCCTGAAGTGCAAGACACCACAGCATTTCACAAAACACAACAGCATTTCACAAAACACAACAGCATTTCACAAAACGCCGCAGCATTTCAGAAAACACCACAGCATTTCACATTGGACGGAAAGGGTATTCCTTAGGGAGAACACTTCTTGTTTGTGAATGGACAGAGCCAGCCATAGAAATGACGCTTCGTGATTGGCCCATCAGTTGTTAGCTGTTAACACACGCTCACAGCTCCTCATATAAACTGGACAAAAGTTAAACATATACAAAACACAGACTGTCTATGTCATGGCGAATACAATCGCTGCTTTATTTATGTCTGTATGTATGACGTTGTTGTGAGTGTGGACGGAGCAGCTACAGGTTAGTTTAGCCTGATCGATCCGAGTATTACAATTAAATCACGGTCAAATATGTTCATTTTGTTGTAGTTGGTATCTCCCATTGGATTTACATGGAGATACAGCCCGCCCCCTCTCCAGCGTCTTGTTTGAATGACAGGAGTAAACACAGAATTAATGCTTTATTAATTCATGGTTTTTAAGGGGCTTATCTCCACGTAAATACTATGGTAGACCACCAAATATTCGCATCGCTCTAATCGCACGAGTTTCACCGCGGCTGTCAGCTGTGTTTGCTCCTGTCATTCAAACAAGAGGCGCTGGAGAGGGGGCGGGGCGTATCTCCATGTAAATCCAATGGGAGATACCAACTACAACAAAATGAATATATTTGACCGTGATTTAATTGTAATACACGTTTCAAAGTGGTGCCGAAGTAACTACATACTGATAACGGTTAGTAAAAACCATGAATTAACGCTTTGACAAGTCTGCAGATAAGACGGCAGGCGAAAAGCTTTTAAAATGCGTGTTTTCCGAATGGAATCGGATCCATCAGGCTCAACTAACCTGTTGCCGCTCCGTCCACACTCACAACAACGTCATACAGACATAAATAAAGCTGCCACTGTATTCACCATGACATAGACAGTCTGTGGTTTGTACATGTTTAACTTTTGTCCAGTTTCTGAACAGATATGAGGAGCTGTGAGCTCTGAGTGTGTGCTAATGGCTGATGTGTTGGAACCATAGACTGTATATATAAATGGACGTAGTGTCCGTAACATCACCCATAGGATTCTGCAGAGTTGCCGTGAAGCCCTTAGTAGGCGGAGTCGGCCACTAACGGCTCGACGGTGACGTCAGAGTCTAATCCCGCCTGCTCCAAATAAGGGCAAAGAGGCGGAGCCGAGGCGGGACCTGCTGCCTCCGAACTGGAAGTAAACAGAGCTAGCTCAGGCTAAGAAGCTAAGCTAACATGAAATACATGCATACCAAGTTACTGCTAACAGTGTAGTTCCCCTATATAAACGTTACATTCATAATCAAATGAGACAATCTGCAAAATAATTAGCTATATTTTGTTATTCTTAATGCTTGTCATTCACACGTTGAGAAAAGACGGACTCCACCGCCCGGACCTAATGGAGCCGCAGTGGGCTAGTTCCGGGACGCCGGCTGGAGCTAGCCCCCTGCGGCTCCGTTAGCTCCGGCGGCCACCACTGGGATAATTGGGTCCCCTATTAACATTTGCTCCCGTTTAGCATTATGGGCGTCATAGCCATAGACTATAAAAGTCTTACCCAAGGCTGAATCATAAACTAAAATGTATATGTATGCATAAAGGGTTACGTCTCGTCCTTAGCTGGCTAATAAGTAACAAGCTAAGCTACCAAGCACACAAACACCTGCGAACGGGGTTAACATGTATAATATTATCATTTTAGACTTCTTGGAAATTCTGTTATTACATTCAAGCGCACAGCACGACATTTTAATTGTCTGGTATTTGTAACAATATTCCCTAAAAGGCACAATCACCACGAACACGGCTAAAGCTAAAGGGTCAAGTACAGTACTATGACTAACTAACGTTGTAGCCTCTATGGTTGTAGCCTAGCAGAGTGGACAAGTTGCTGTTAGCTGACAGTGAGGCATGTACGTGTCCATCAACGTGACCATGCCCTAATTTATGCAAACACTTTAAGACCTAATGTAAATAAAAGGGTCGTGTTAGAAAACAATTCACTCACAGATTCATAATCATGAAGGTGGAATCTAACTATATCGATAATAATATTTATTGCATCCATGGGTAGAAACATGTTTTTTTCTGCTGTAAAGTTGAGCATTTTAACATGGGGGTCTATGGAAATTGCTCCTTTCTGCAGCCAGTCCCTAGCGGCCCATGTATGAACTGCAGTGTGTGGCACTTCCGTATTGGCTTCCCGGCTGTTCCCCAGAGTTTGCCGCTTGGTTGGAACATATTTCGCTGTCGGGTGTTGACCAATCACGAAGCGTAATTTCTTGACTGGCAGCAAAAACAACCAATCACAGCAGTGCTTCTCTGGCTGGCTCTGTCCAATCACAAACAAGAAGTGTTCTCCCTAAAGGAATACCCTTTCCGTCCAATGTGAAATGCTGTGGTGTTTTGTGAAATGCTGTGGCGTTTTGTGAAATGCTGTTGTGTTTTCTGAAATGCTGTGGCGTTTTGTGAAATGCTGTGGCGTTTTGTGAAATGCTGTGGCGTTTTCTGAAATACTGCAGCGTTTTGTGAAATGCTGTGGTGTTTTGTGAAATGCTGTGGCATTTTGTGAAATGCTGTGGCGTTTTGTGAAATGCTGTAGTGTTTTGTGAAATGCTGTAGCGTTTTGTGAAATGCTGTGGTGTTTTGTGAAATGCTGTGGTGTCTTGCACTTCAGGGCCACCGTAGTATGGAGTAATACAGCTCAATTAATAAACTAAACTAAATTCAACCAGCTCAAACAATAAATGATATCCCTATTATTAACAGGCTAACGACATATTTTGGTGTGAACCATGGTCGTATAGTGACTTAAATTGCAGCAGACAGTTCAGTAGAAGGCCAGCTGGTGGCGCCAGTGGACTGCAACTGCGAGTCGACCTCACTAATATGCATGTTCTTTGGCTGTGGATGTGCAAGGTAGTGTATAGTATAGTTTCAGAGGTCCAAAGTAAACAAGTACAAATCAAAGCTCTGAAGAACACGTTTGAAAACATTATATTTTTCCAGAAGTTGTGTGTACACATAATAAACAACAATGTTATAAAACAAATAGAAACAGCTGAAACATCATTCAATCACTTATTGCAAAAGTTCAACTTACAAGGAAAGCAAACAGCATGGGACACATTAACTCCCAACATTATCCAGCAATGCAATATGGATGAAGTTTATAGAAATTGTTAAGCAGCATAGCTCCTAGCATAAATGCAGGATACAACATGGTACAAAATGCACACTGTGCAAGTAAAGACATCTTTGAACCAAACTGAGAGTTGTCAGTATAGATAAAGGTTTTCAAACCACTTATGCGTATCGTTGATACTCAATGCATAGGATGAGATAGAATTTCAACAAATGCCTCACAATGCAAATACAAAGCATGTGTCTGATACTGATCAAGCATTTGGATAAAGCTTAGTAATTTGAAAAGCCTACAGTACAGCCATGGTACATCATACAACAAAAACAAATGTGTTCATATAGTCCAACTCAAATAGTATACTGCTTTGGCTGCTTCTTCAGGCTCATAGATCTTTCAGTTTGGGAAATAACGTGAGAGGCTCTGTTGTTCAGGAGTCTGCATTCATGAAGTACATCTGTAGAAAAATAAATGAAGGTCAATTATGATATGGGATAACACACTGTGATTCTTGCACACTTAATGTAAATAATATCCCACTTTTATATTCTGTTAGCTGTAATTTAGCCCTTCAGTATTTTTACATTTGTCAGATAGCTTACTTATTTTTTCTTCACAGTCAACATTTATATTTCAGTCTATAGTTCGGTTTTATCATCTATTTTGAGATTTTCTTTTCTATTTTCTAGTCTTTTTTTATTTCTAATTATGTACAATACTTGTTTTACATGCTGCTGCAACGAAAACATTTCCCAATTTGGGATTAATAAAGTATATCTTATTAAATGGTGGACTGTAGATCAAATGAAATGAAAACATCAGGCCCTGCACAGAAACTCTTACCGTTGAACTGTTTGTAGGCTTCTTCAATAATGGCATTGTTTGATCTTTTTAACTCCCAGTAATTATCCTCCACCCATGGTTTGCAATCAGTGTGTTCCACAAGCTGTCCATTCTTGTATGAACCAGCTTGAATAGAAAAAAAGAAAAACAGTTCAGTCATATTTTACATGAACAAGAAAACTTAGTCAAGCAAGGAAGAAGACATGACTGCATCCTGAACATGTCATGGAGGCCATTCATACATTGTGTACAACTAAACATAGTCTCAGATACAACTCACGATAAAAACACACACTAAATAGCTAATGTACCTTTGATGGTTTCATCAATGTCTTTACATAATTGGTACAGTTCACTGCCACGCCCAACCACTCTTTCCCCTACAATTTAAAAACAGGATAAACAATGTAACATTAGTCTAAGAGTTAATGTTATGCAGGAGACTAAATGAAAACATTATATATACACATGTACCTTACCATCAAGCACCTTGATGTGGGGGAACATCTCAAGAACTATGTTTCTATATGCTGCGTTCCTGCACACTGTGCAGAGAGAAAGATATTGTGAGTTCACTTCACAAGATGTTCCATTAACCAGATTGTATAAAAGCAAATTCACACAAAATTACCTGGGTTAGTGTAATTGTAAGTGTTGTCTTTAAGACGTATACTTTCTAGCTTTCTCAACAGCTGAAGGCATTGTAGGTTCTCAATGCTGGTAAACAAAAAAGAAACAGATGAGAGATGATTTTACAGGACTTATCCAGAATATTGCTCTTAAAAATATTATTGCCGCAAAAATATTTAACATCAATGACATTAAATAGTTCTTATACTATGATATTAACATTGTTATCAATAACATATTGGCATTCTTATTCATTTAGAGTAAAAATTTGGTCAATGGTCGTATAGTGATACCTGGATATGATATTACCAGCCAAGTTTAAGTTCTGTAAACCTTCACAATTGCGCAGGGGTTCTGAAAGTACCAAAGCAATAACATGCATTAAGAAATCTATTTCTATTCATGGCAGAGACTTCCATGATAAGTGAACAAACATACAGTATGCAAATAAACAATAAATTGCTCCTGACATCTTACCTAAATTGGAAATCCTGTTTGAAGACAAACAGAGTACAGAAAGAAGCCGGAGAGATGATAGAGGAGCTACATTTGTTATGTTATTTCCAGAGAGGTCCAGTTTCTCTAAATGTAAACATTCTCCAATGCATCCAAGATCAATTATTCCTGTAAGACACACAGTTAGCATTATAAACTATGATGCATTTATGAAGGGGTTAAATAGTAGATGTTAATTACAACTTACCAAGACCTCTCAGTTTGAGAAACAGTATTGACTCCAAATCAAATTCTCCTGTACGCGACTTGAGCAGCCCAGGCGTTATCTTCTCACAGTCTGCATCTGGAAGAATCAGATAAATATGAGTGCAGAAAAACAAACCACGTCTTCTATTTTTACATATGCAACACAATCACAGAGCAAGGATGTGTGAGTCAGGGATGCAAGAGCAGAATGCCGGAAGCACTGTGTCTGCTCTGTGTACAGTGGACCAGTCAAACAACCCATGCAACCCTTCTAAAAAATACTAATTCAGGCAGACCTTGCATTTCATATCTCGCCGCACAATGAGCTTTTCGTCTGGCAGCTCTAGAGGGAAGGGGTCACACACAGACAGATGAGCTGTCCTCTGTGCTGTCTCTTATGGTATTAGCTCGCCCCAGTTGTCTGCATGAATAACAACTGAGGACGTTATATTTGGTTTAATTTCCTTAGGCAGATTCGGTCCCTCCATAAACATGAATACTCTTTCATGAGACTGCACACATGAATGACTTATTCACCTGACAAGAAAGATCAGACTAACCAAAAATAATGATGTTGGGGTCTTTTTTTCACATTACATCCTTTTAGATTGTAATCACCCCAAGTTGTATTTATACACATTGTAAAATGAATGCCAGACAGGGTAGTATGACAAGACAACATGATGGGGGAAACAGTCATGGGTGGAATGAGTAGGGCCACCAAACACACATCTTGCATATGTCAACAGCTGCAATAATAAATAGGCTGATGATTTTTAGCTTAGCTTGACACCAGTAAATGTTGTTAGCTTGTGTTAGTAGCCATCTGTTTCTTAGCTGTGAGTCAGCGGCTGCGTACTCTCATGAAGATGATTCAGCCGGATGAAAGTGGGTGGGTTATTAAATGAAATTCTAATTGTTATTTTTTTTCGCCTGATGATGACACACGTAAAATGTTGTGTAACGAACGATACGTTGTTAGCTGGCTCTTAGCTGAAGCCGCAGCCAGCTAGCACAAGCTGCTAGTGGCTAGCGTAGCAACAAGCTATCCATGGCAACTTACCTTGGTCTTTATCTCGCTTAGAGTCCATCATGAGCAACTTTGCAAGATAACTTAACTATCGCAATAAGCGATGATTTTAACCAATGTGGTGGAAAGACAAAGCAGTGGTTGTTTTATGGAAATGTAAAACTGGCATCTGTCCTGAGGTGCAGTCAGGACACGCTCACTGTACTGCTTTGCTGCAATAATAGGAGGCAGGTGGATTAAAGCCTGCAGTCCAGCATAATGCTGCAGAGCATTAGTCTAATGCACTGTGAGAGAGGGGAGATAAGGACGGGGCTGGAATATGTGTTACAGTATTTTTGTATGTTGTTTTCCGGGCAACAGGTCTCAGGACTCAATTAAAAGTGTTGTTCTTGTTATAGTATGCGAAAAGTATGATCCATAGATACCATAGTTGCGGTAAGGCTGAGTCAATTCTGAATGAAAAGCCAATTAAGTGGTGATTACATCAATATGATAAATAATAAATGAGCATGCAAAGTATTATCCAATCAGGGATTAAATAACCTACGAAAAGATGCATGTTTGGAAAGTGGGTTAATGGTATCTGGGGGTCAGAATCAAACTTTCTTGGTGTGGGAGTTTGCACCTGTAGGCACAATTAGCCAGAGATGGGAATTACTACGTTTATTTAGGCTGATGAAGTTGCCTACTCATCAGTACATAGGCTACAATAAGGCGACTTGCATTCTGAGTAGTTACTTCATGTAACAACTTGATATTACTTAATGTTTCTATTCCATTTCATATCATGTGTAGATGTTATATTTTTACATTATTTATGTGACATCCGAAGTAACCATACTTGGAAGAGTGAAAATCCAAATTGTATTGATAATTAGGTATTTACTTGTTCTGTGGTGCATACACATATAAGAGGAAACAAAACAGAGAAAGAAACACATTAAAGAACATTAATACAAAAATATAAATAGAAAAATACAATAAAAAAGGATACAAAAAAATAGGCAACGTTAGCAAATGTTTAATATGATCATTTTGACGAGGGACTTGTATAAGCAAACAGTTGAACATATTATATATTTGTAAAAATGTAATTAGCTTACATTACAGTTTACTATCGTATTTTGGATATCCTTTTCCCCAACATTAAGAAACTCCTGAATCAAGAGAACACAGCCTCTTCATTACCAGAAGGTTCTAGTTCACGATGAGGTATTTTTTTTATTTTTTTTACCTGAGGCTGGGGTCCTATTGGTTTGCCTCCTGTGGACAGCCGGTGCTTTAAGAGAAGCAGATCAGTTTGCAGCTCAACCTCCCATGGCTACGACAATACTGGACACGGCTCTTGTTCTCTTCATTTTTCACGTTTTTCCTGTTTTTGCTTCATTCTCTAGATGTACCAGTCATGGCGGACATCTCCAATAAGGACAACAACACCTACAACCTGCTTTAAGAGTTTGCACCGTGGCGGCATCCTGAGCGGAGACTCGGTCTTTGCCGCGGACCCCCTAAATGCCTTTCATTGAGAAAAGGCTTCGGACGTTCAGTGTTGTGAATGTGTACAAGCAACAGATTACCTGATTAAGATGGGTAATAAACAAACGATATTTACTGACGAGCAACTTGATGCCTACCAGGTGAGCTTGCATGTGTGTGTACCTGAAGCATGTTGGAATAGATCATTCATGCCAATATCCAGAATCAGAAAGTCATGTTAAAGCCTAAAATAAGTAATTATAAAGCACTGTGCATACATCATTGTCATGCTTGTAAGTATTAATTGTGAGTGTTTAAAGGCCTAAGTGCATGCATTTTTCCACGATTATTTATACAAAATTATTGTTATATTTCAATGTTTCTCTTTATTTCCAATAAGTCAAACCTCGCAGTTTAACCCCATGTGTTTTGGATATAATGGGTTTAACAAAAAAGCCTGAACATTTACATTTGTTATAAATATCAGTTGGTCATAGTCTTCATAGATAATTGATTTGCAATAATCAATTTCCTACTGGTCAGCTTGGACTACTGTTTAAATATTTACAGTTTCGAGGGGAGGATAGCAGAAGGTTTTGATTTCATTGAGGATCTTGTGTTTGCTCTGCAACTATCTGAGAAGATCTGGCTCTCTGTTTCCTGTAACAATGATCCAAGTTTTCCTGGGAAGGAGAAACACATCTTTTTGTGCACAGGTTTATCATGTGATTAGGTGTGGACTCAATAATTGATGCCAAGCCGGTGTGACTGTGAAACTCTACTCTAGGAGACAGGTCACTTCTCAAGAGCCTCTCTGGTTACTCCTGCTGCTCCTTAAAAACCTTATTATTATACTGTTACATTATGTTTGACTTAGCTTCTGTCTTGGGCATACATTTTTTCATCCTTTGTTTCTAGGATCAAATGTACGATTATACACCTAATTCAACCTCAAGACCTCATTGTGCTCTAATTACATTTTCTATAGGCTTTACTTATAATGTGGTCTATCGTGTTGGAGACTAGTTGGTTTTGATAATTACCTCACATAATGCTTTACATACATAATTATCATAACCCAAACATCCTAAGTAGTCCTGTTTGCCTTGAGTGGGTAGATTTGTCTCTAGAGATCAGTTGGCTCCGCTCTGCTTCTCCCACTCCAAGCACAGCTCAGACAGAGTGGATACAAGGGGAGATGTAAAGTGAGGTGGCTCCTGCAGGCCTGTTGGATAATGTGTGTGCCAACACGTGCATGTCAGACAACAGCAGATCATGTTGCCCTCGCCACATCGTTCCTATTGCAAGTGGCCGGTGACAACACTCACACATGTCATCAAAAGAGACACTAGACACCTTGACTAGCGTTTACAGTAAAGGTAGTTCACGTGATTCACAGAAGTGTCATTGAGAGGATTTCATAAAATATGTAAATGGGTTTTGTCCTATAAACACTTGTCATACATGACGTCATGCTTTTCTTTTGTCATTGCAGGACTGTACGTTCTTTACCCGCAAAGAAATTCTTCGGTAAGACTATTATCAATTCTTCCTCTTGCTTCTGATGGATTGCTCACAGATGTTGTTGTTGGTTGTAAACCACCTGCTGTAGCCACAATATAGCTGACACACAATAATGTTACCACACGAATGTCTTTATATCACTACTTGTTCTGTTGTAAACATGAGCAGTGCATGTAATACTCTATACTAAATCACCATACATACTGTCATAACAAGGGAGTGTTTACAAAATATCACGGCTTCAGAGTACATTTGGCTCCTGTTGGAGGAATTCAAAGTGTCTCACACGTTATGCCCTGCCAAGTCATCAGAGCAGACTGCTGGCCTCCTGGGTACCGAATGCTGAGACTGGTTTATAGGCAGCTGTGTTGTGTTTGGGAAATGTTCAAACAGGGGAAGATAAATAATAGTAGGTAAACATTTTAGCTCTAACAAGCTGAACTAAAGCCTTAACACATGCACTCCTTCCAATATATACAGTTCATTATTTATAGTTACTGTCGTATTTAGAGTATAACACAATTACATGTGTGCTGTTCGAGTAAGGGCTCATTTGAATGATCAAATTACAATTCAAATGGGAATCAATCAATCTTGTCATTTTATGTGGTGTATGTTACTATTGCTATTGTGAAGTAGAAATATTGCATTTTGGCTTAGAGTTCAAATATAATTGAATGATCATCTTATACAGCCAATGTATTATCTTTTTACATCTTCCCATCAACAGCCTGCAGCATAACAGATAATGCAGACAAATGTAATTACATGAATTGCACAGCATGTGCACTTATGTCCATGAAGATTGCTTTTATGTGAGATAAGTAAAAATCTTTACATGTTCAGCGTCACCTAAACCTTTGAAAGCCATGTTGACCTTTTGACTGGTGTTGTTTTCAGTGTCACATTTCTACCTCTTTCGACATGTGCAAACTCAACACTTACAAAAATATCAATCTACTCTTCATGATTACATGAGGTATCATGATTCATTGGGCAGCATCATTTCTCTCTTCCCGTCACTCAGCCTGTTGATGACAGGCATAAATTAAACAAATGTCTTGCTTTTCTTATTAATGGAATTGGATAATAATGCTCATGTTTCAGTATCTTTTATCAGTGGTTCTAGATGTTGGAAGATAAATAGCTGCTTAAAGAAATTAAATGCTGTTACTCAAGAATGTGTCATTGTAACATTAGAAAAGGATGAACGTTGCATGGAGGACTGTTGGCTCTGAATTGCCAAATCAGTATATGGGCAGTAAAGTTGTTGTTGTTTTTAAATGACAGTAAGACAATGCAGTGATTTGTGTCCTGTTGTCTCACCTGTTATTGTCTTATAGAATTACACAAACTCAATAATTCATAATGGAAACAAATTAACTGGGTTGCTTGATTCTACGTTTTTTCATTTGTAAAGCAGAGGTGATAAAATGAGTACCGTACATCAATAGCCACATTTCTTCAGCAGGGCTCTGTTAAATTAGACTTTCTTTTGTTCCCATTCAATTTCACTGCATTTATGCTCCTCCTTTGTTTTCTTATCAACAAGCATGTACATGTTCCTTTTCAGTGATATTGGCTTGACTTTGACTCTAATTTAGTTGCAGTGGACTGGAAATATAATTGACAATCAGCAGAGGGCGTAATTGGGTCCTCCACTTTATGACCTTCATAAAACACTTCTTGTTTCTGTCTCCAGCTGCAGCGTTACAGAACAGTTACGTAACATAAAAGAAACATCTCTAAAGGTCATAAGGTCCAACAGATTTTACATTTCAGCCTTATGTCATATTTTAGCATTAAAACCAGATTATAAACATTCCAGGTTTTCTTAATCTTGTGTTTTTGGAAATAAAACATAATGTTAATAAGGCAACTTTACAGACCCTTTACCTCTAAAGCACTTTCCATCGTCATGGTACATTAGCACTGCAGGTTTATTCGTTCATTTCTTGTGGAGTACCAATAAAATGTCATCAATTTGACAGGTTTACGCCAGTTTCCCTGCTGATTAATGTCTCTGCTCTGGCATCGCAGGTACACCATGACAAGATTAGTTAAAGGACAGAGTGAAAATGGGGTTGTAGGATAAGCCACTTTCCCAAGATAATTATTTGATCATTCACACAGAGAGAACCGAACAGGAGAGACAGTGAGAGGTTGGTTATGTCATCTTACTACATGAGTTGTGCTACAAATGTGTGTAAGCCCAAATCATTTCCTGTTGGATAAATAAAGTGTTATCTTATCTTTGGTTTCAGGTGTTTGAAAATGCAACGCTTGTTTTTTGGTAGTCAATTCTCTTTCCTAAATAACAGCACACCTGAAGCATCAAACATAAATACAATTATGTTGAAAGTGTTTTTGTTTTCTTTATTCTAGATTGCACAGCAGATATCATGAATTGGCTCCACATCTCGTCCCCATGGACTACACCAACGATCCTGACTGTAAACTGCCTTTAGCCTTAATAGTCAACATGCCAGAATTAAACGTAAATCCTTCTTTACAGTACCTTATTATTGTCTATGTTGAAACGCTTTCCTAAAGGATCTGCCATAATTTGTTTTCCACCAGCAGTGTACATGTGTTTTGTTTAGTTATTTTGGATTGTGCGGTAAGGACAATAAAACAAAAATGGCACCCACAACTTATGTGGGCCAACACCTAATCAATAAACACTCTCCGCCAGAGGACAAAATTGATTTTTAACCATCGGCATCATGGATATGATTGCATTAAGCCACATTCTGTGAGATCATGAAAGTTAATGTGCCATGAAACACTCAGCCTCTCCATACTGACGGGAAAATCTTCTCCTATTTGAGGCCCCTGCCATTTGAAAAGAACATTCAGACAGTTTAAGAATGGCATGTTGCATTACCTTGCACCCACCTTTACCTTCACCTTTATCCTGCCCTCAAGTAACACACCATTTTTTATGGAGTTCTTATCCACTGAGATTTTAGCACAGAGACTCATGTGTTCTTCCTCTGAGCATAATTGGCTTTTGCCTGTAAAACTGTCACATGAGTACATGGCCTGTAAGGATGGAGAAGAGGAGGAGGGAGACCACTCAAGGCAGGATTCATTCATAAGACCAAGACAATACCCAAAGCACTCTACTGCCTCATTGCCATAAATACATTTTAAGTTTTTATTAGCTGTGTTGTGTTGATTGGACTGACTCGTGCTGTGCTGACATGTCTTATGAAGTGCCTTAGATGGCCTAAAAATGCTAACCATCTCCTGGGCAACAACTGTGCATATTGGTTTGAGGTAAAGAGTAAGTAAGATGCATAAAGGTAATACATTACTGAGATTCCAAGTCTCTGCTGATGGTCGCCCCTTCAGTTTGAATTTATTACAAGTTGTGTCAGCTAATTGCCTGTGATATCAATTCTTTAATTGCAGCTTGTGGTTGAGCAACCATGAAAACAAATATTGGCTTCACCATAACAGTCAGCTTTTTTCAGTTGAAACCTGTGATCAGCAGAAAACACTTAACCAGTTTATACCTGATCATGTATGAAACCGACAACAGATTGTTAACATGTGAAACATAGTTCTCCTATTATTCTTTAAGATATTGATTTTCCATGTACTTCCATGTGTACCAACAGTCCCACTGATGTATGTAAAGGTTGTCATCTCTTCTATCTGTAGGAAAATCCTTTCCGCAACAGGATCGTAGAGTCGTTCTCAGAGGACGGGATGGGGAACCTCAGCTTCAATGAATTTGTGGACATGTTTTCAGTCCTCAGTGAAATGGCTCCTAGGGAACTAAAGGCCATATATGCCTTCAAAATATACGGTAATGTCACATTCCAAAAACATTCAATTTAAATTGTTTGTTTACATCCAGAAATCAATGCCATTAATCTCTTTTTCTCACAGATTTCAATGTGGATAATTACCTGTGCAAAGAGGACCTGGTAAAGACTTTGAATAGGCTGACGAAGGAGGAGTTGACTCCTGAAGAGGTGGTGCTGGTGTGCGAGAAAGCCATAGAGGAGGCGGATTTAGACGGAGACAACAAACTCTCCTATGCTGACTTTGAAAACATGATTACCAGGGCTCCAGACTTTTTAAGGTGATTAAATGTACCACACTAAAGAAAAAGCATGTCTTATTTTGAGGATTTTTTCAATATAATGTTTATACCTCATTCTACATTACAAGCTGTAAGCCTTTAAAATCAGGCATTATCCCCCATGTTGCAGTGCTCTGAGCTGTTTGTCTCTGGTTACTCTGTCTTCAAACCCCAGATGGCTGTTAATCATGTTCATCGTTTAACTGCCAGCTTATCACTTTAATCCCGAGCCACCACTATGTACATTCATTTATATGCAAATAGGCTCACCACTCACTGTTCCCACTGAAATGCTGAACACATCTCTCCCTGATTCCTGTGAGTCAGTTTGTGTGCATGCACTATGAGTAATCCTGTCTCATATTGTCTTCTTTTTTCCCCCAGTACCTTCCATATACGAATCTGAGAGGGCACCGTGGAAGGTCAAAGGTCGGCAGCGTTGTGAACCTCAGGATTTTAGCTGCACCTGTCCTGGCCACAGCACAGTGCCTGTCTCCCACTCCAATGGTCAAAAAAATGTTTGCAATCAGACTTTTCTGGCCTCAGTAAAGTCTGTTTAGCAGTAAAGGATATTACTGGATACATTTGCAAGGACACAGAATTTTTTTATTGCAAATTAAAATGTATTTTCCTTTTACCAGCTATAAAAGGGCTCGGCAAGGACTGGTCTCTTGTTGGAAGAAACAGACTATTCTTTCCACATTTTAAAGTTAAAATATTATAAATGAAACAAGTCTGTAATGAGCTAGACTTTGTATTAATGCATATTAAGCTCAGTCAAGAATGCATAAAATGCTCATCTACCTATCTTGTACATGAGATACAGAATATATATAAATATATATATAAATTCTTCCCACAATGACACACAACATATTTAGTGTTTATAAGGTTAAGGGCAAAGCTTGAAGTGAATAAAAGCACAGCATTGGCATTAAGGGCATCCAGATATTTTATATGCAATATTTGTACATGCAGTGTGTTGCTTTTAATCATTTGGGGTTGTGTTTTTGCTTGTGGAGCTGATCACGACAATCATATCTTACTGTTTTTCAGATACATGAAGGGCTCTGTCGTCTGAACAAATGTTGGTAGCTTTTTCTGCTTCAGCCATTATCACAAGATAACAAATACAGCCATCTTTTGGATATACATGTTACAGTATTTTATGTGACTTCAGGTATTTGTCTTACTTTTAATAAATGTTTTTTTTTCTGTCTTGATTTTTTTGTATGTGAATGCATTTATGAGGTTTAGTCTTGTTACCGAGAAAAGCATGAAATAATACTTAAACACAGGAGCTCTTACTGTTTGTAAACCAAAAACAAACCATTTCAAGTCAAAGGCCTGACCTGCAACTTTGATGAGTTCATTAATATCCCGTCCATATATCCATTTATCTTAACCCACCCACCCATGATGATCAAAGAGCGTGCACAGCAAAGATGAGGAAATGACTGCGCCTCTGCATAGCCCATCATATAAGCCTTAATAACTTGTTAAGCAGGAAGTGGTCATTAGGAGTGAGCTGTGTCAGCAAGCATGATAACATCCTGCACACATAGTTACATTAAACCAGAAAGCTGCAGGGAATGGTCATGTTGACTGATGATTCCTGTGTCTGTATCATGGGTCTGTATGTGACAATTTTGTAACATGTGGAGTGCCATGTTGTTTCAGTATAGCATGTTTTCAGCTCAGCTTGTAGCAGTGAGTCATACTGTGCAAGTGGATGTTGGGCAGCCATGCAGAACATTGTGTTTTTCCTGCTAAGAATCATGTCTGGGTCGTCTTTACACCTTTGTGCAATAGCTGCAAAACGTTTTTTGTTTTTTTTAAACCTAGCATAGACCATCCAAACTCAAGTGTGTTTTGAGGCAATATAATTTCCTGTTAGCAAATGGTAATAACAAATGCAACAAGTCGATTGTTCAGACTTGATCTTATGTGTTATATTTATATATACAGTCTATGGTTATAGCAGACAAAAAAAGAACATGCATACAGATCAACACCAAAATATGATTGTACTGAATATAGCTACATGGTGGATGGTGTTCTCATGCACACTGACAGCTATGAAACATAGGAAAAAGCATTCACCTAAAAAGGGGAATACATTGAAGTCAGTTAAACAGTGTGCAGTCATCAGAGCAGCCGGTTAATTCCCCCATTATCTCCAGTTGCTTTTATGAGGGCATTGAATATTCAGGGTAATACAGTGCTGATTGTGTGGCTCCATTAATTACTGGTCTCACAGAGAACATCTGTTTAATTATGATTCCAGCTGAGAAGCTTCTGGTGCAATGTGATACTGGAGCTGTAAAGCAACCGTAACTGTACGCAACTGTTCCTGTAAATAGACAGTGTGTGAAACTCACACATTTCACTCAATGGGATCTTGTCTGTTTTAATTTGATGTGATTTAAGGTTATTCCTTAGGCTGGAGGTCTGACTGCTCAATGCTACTGTGTCATGCACCAATATTTCCTTAATTATATTTCCTTAAGATTGTGGTGTTTTAACCCTACCAATTATTTTTATTATATAAGCAGTATAAGAAATGAATTGATTATATATTTTTCCTTTTTTTAAACCATTACGTACTGAATATAGCTACAAATAGTTTAAAATCTACCCGAGAGAGATTTGTTAACAGATACAAGTCATGTTCATATAAAATGTGTTTATACGGTGTTATCAATCATCACTGTATTGAAAATCTCTCCACCACAGCATCGCAAAATTGTACTGTCTGTATGATAGAAATGAGGGTATAGGTCTTCCCTTTTTTCATATCTCTTACTGAACCTAGTGCATGTGTCATGTCAGAGTTATTCCCAGGTGCAGAAACCCAATTATTCAAAATATGGCACTGATCACATCTAGCTTTTGTGTTTTTAAGAATATGTCAATGTATAATCTTTATCTAAGAGTTTGAAGGAATATGTCCAAATATTGTTTGCCTTCGGAAATGTTTAATATTTTATATTGGGTTAAAATATCCTGGTGCGTTTCCTCACTGGCATTGGAAACTGATCATGAAACACATTCAAGTTGCTACCGTACACATGTGTTTGTAATCTGCATGCAAATAAAGTTTCCTGTCAGTGAAGTGCAACATTGATGGGAGCAGCCTATAGTCAAAATATGTTTGAAGATCAGTAGGAAACACAGTACACCTTTTTTTCTCTAGGAAAATAATGAGTTTTTCTTTTTGCATATGTCATTTATTCAAATGTGGTGTAGACAAAAAATAAATAGACTACAGTGTTTCTTTAAATAAATAGATTTGAAATACAAATGACAGAAGATGTCATTGATTAAACTATGCACATGAGGGCCCAGGTTGAACACATTACAAATATTCTTTCACAGAGTGAATGTAAGGCAGGACCACTGTAGTGTAGAGAAAGTGGGTGAACATTTCATCAGTAGTTGGCAAGGTAAGCTCTTCACCATTTCTTATTGACTTCAGGGAACAGCCATTTCCATTTATCATTCTGCAGGAGGTAAAACAAAAGTGAATCAATAAATAAATATGAATAGTAATAATACATTGTATTTATAGAGTGCTGTTCTCGGTACTGAAAGACACTTTACATGCTAAAATTCATAAAAACAACATTAAAACATCACACTTAAAATATTTAAAATACAACAATAATGAAAGATTAAAAGCAGTTCTGAAGAGGTGAGTTTTGATTTGAGATTTCAAAGAAGACAGATTGATGAAATTGGATGAAGTGTTCAAATGGAAGCATTTGGCCCACATTACTAACCTTAAACCCCCAGGTGAGGTGACCATGTTTGGGTCTGACGTCCTTTAGAGGTTCGTAGGTGTTGCTGTTGGGTTCAGGTGGGTCTGTGTCCTTGTGGCCAGGAATTGGCTCATATGTATGAGGGAAGTGGTCTTTATTTGAGACCTCAGCGTACACTGCCCCCCTGTGCTGCTCTGAAGATCCAGTCCCAGAGGAAGCATGGTGTGGGCTGCTAGCTCTGCCAGCCAGGTGATAAACAGCAGCGTCACTCATGTGATCCTGACCGCTGCACGAGTCTGTCCCCTCAGGCAGAGGACTAAAGGAAGTGGCTTGTCTGACGGGCTTAGGGGAAAGTCTGGGTGGCGTGAGGGGGGGTGCACTCAGCCTGTAAGACTGCTCTCCCTCACAGCTGTGGTTCAGGAGCGGTAGAGACCTGCACTTGGTATCCAGCAGGCTGAGCTCAGAGTAAACAGACTCTGGTCCAGAAGGAGAATTGCTCCTGCTCATGTTCTGATCCTGAGTTGTTGATCTCCCAGCTCTCACTTGATTATCTCCAGGGAAATTGCCCTGACGGATGAGTTCGGATCTCGGTATCTCCCTGGGTTTTTGCTTCTTACACTGAGCATACAAAACCTTCTCAGGGTCATTCGACGGACCAATGTCGAGATGTCTGCTCCTCCGAGGCAAAGGAGGGACTTCCTGTTTTACAAAACAAGCCAGGTTCTTAAAGTCAGCTTGGGGGTGTTAATACAAAAACATTTGGTATGGAACGTATACATTATAATAAAACTGTACTCACCTCGTGTGTCCTGGGTGGAAGTGCAGGAAGCTGCTCTGAGTTAATCTTTGGTGTTTGCATGTTCTTTATAGCTCCAACTGGCCTCTCTTTAGGGCTAACCTGGATGGTGTCATACAGCTCTTTGTCAAGTTCCTGCAAGAACAAAACACCAGTTAGATCCTCATTCTCCATCAAATGTGACTTAAAGAAAGTGACTGAGGAGTTTTGTCTTACCTCAAAACATGAAGATGCCAGGGACTCTTCAAAAGGCTGAATGGCGTTCGTCTGGTAGTAATCTATGAGCTCATAGAGCGAGTCGTGCCCTTTAGTGTCGCCAAACACTACAAACTGCCCTGATTCATTTTGGTTTATCACAAAATGTCGACACCGATCCCTGCCTCTGCAACAGGAAATACAAAATAATTAGATAAAAAAACACCAAAACAACCTTTAGTTTAAAAGGGGACAACAATGTGTTAATGAACATGTGTGACCTTTTAAACCTGCATGTCAACTAAATAAGCTTGCTTCGAAACACAATCATTGTACGATTCAGGTTACAGGTTTTCAGAGCAAACCAATACTCACGTATAAGACAGAACGTATCCGATGGCCTTTTTACTGAGACGGATCAGAAAAGAGCCCAGCTCCTTTTCTCTGAGTATTTCCTCTGCCTTCCTGTAGATAGACACAAATAACCTTAAAACACTCAAAACGTATTTCCCAAAAGCCTAATTTGAGTTTACAGGAACAGTGAGCTAGATTTTGAGTGGGGAAAGGCAGGTCACGTAATTTCCCGAGGAAATTACATTCCATCAAAGGAAGATCCATTTTGTTTCAGGTATTTTCCGTAAAACTGTCATTTACCAATGCACAGGCTCTGGCAAATTCGTCCCTTTTGATTATGTATGTGTCTATATATGTCTGCTTTGTATCAATTGTCACTGCATCTGATGTAAACTCTGACTCATAGACTGATAGTGCTCATCGTAAAAGATAAAGCTTGAATAAAATAGTTTTTGCTTGATAAATATAAAACAATAGTTGATATTAAAAGTGCAGCAGGTCATGTTTTACCACACTGTATAGTATTGAGTTGTATCGAGTTATATATAGTTACAAAAAACCAATTATTCTAATAATGAGCATTCAAGTTTATTTTCAACCCCGCAAAATCCAAATTACTGAATGAATACTCACTTCCTTGTGATGAAGCCCCGGAACCAGCTGGGGAAGAAGCCGTTTTGGACGATGTTTGGTAACTGAGTGTCTATAAACCACTTTGAGGCCAGTTCCCTGAGTCCTCCTTCAGACCCTTCAACATCCAGTGCTGGTTCCCTTTGCTCCATCCTCGCCCGCTCTTAAACAAAGCCACACAGAGAGCCGCTGAAGACAACCTGCATTCATTTCCCAAACAGTCAGGGTGTATTTTAACCGTCTAATTTGCTTATTTTCCAGGAGGCGTCAACCAGAGAATAAAGGCAGCTTAATATTCTATTTGTTGCAGGAAATACCACATCATTCATTTGTGTACTTTTTTAAAAAACATACACTATACAACATTTCTTAAATGTTAAATTACAACCTTTTTGGGGGTGGATTAAACCTGAAAATCCATAATGTCAAAAGTCCATTCTCACTAAATAAATGAGGCAATGAGCTCCTCTGCTGTAATGTGATGTTAGGCAAACTTACTTTGCATGTAGATCAACGGAAATAAGTTAGTCATTAAAGCAGTTAGGGACCATTCATTGTGATCTGGTAACAGTACTTACCTTGAAGCGAAAAGTCAGACAGTTCCTGAAGCAGGGAGATTGTATGTGTCTCTGATCCTTTGTCCTTGACTCTGTAAAGTGGCAGATCTTCTCACACCTGGCTTTGGGTTTTCTGTAGAGTATGCAGCAATTTGTTTCAATCCCTAGAAAAAGATGGATGAAGGCTTAATTATGAGTTCAATGTGAAGCAAAGACACTGTACGGTGATAAATGTGTACATACCTTTCCTGGAGAGTGAGTGGTTTGAACCGGGTGTCATTTCAGCAAACGTTAAAAAGCTCCTCTCAATGTCTGTCAGCCGTTTATCTCAAACAGAAGGTCTTCTGAGGGAGTAAAACTGTACATCCGAGATATAGACTGATGACATTTACAATTACACACATTTTTCCACCGACTTGGAAAGCGTTTCCGCTTTGCACGGCACAACACTGTTCATACAGCTCATTTGCATGTCACAGACGTCTAAGGCCCCTCTGAACAAAGCAGGAGCTTCCTGAAGAGAAATGGAAAGTAAGCTGTGCAGAAACTGTGGTTTCTGTGCACACAAGTGTGTTGGTTTGCAAGAGGATATGTTTTACCCACAGACTGTCTGATTGTGGGAAATAAGGTGCGTCAACAGTTTTCTGACATGGGCTTGCAATGAACTCAGATCAAAGCTCAAAAAGCAGGAGCAAATTCAAAAGAGTGGACATGTTTGGGAAAATTCAGAGATTTAAGAGGGCATGGAGAAAACTCTTTTTTTAACTCATTACTCCCGGGGATGAGACAGTCCTCCTCATGAATCAGGTTTCTCTTGGTTTCTGCTCAGTGATGAGCTGTAAGAAGTCCCTGTGGGGGAGAGACAATAACCGAAAATAGTATGTGTCATCGTGAGCGGGATGAGCCGGAGATCTCAGCAGTTATTAACAATAACAACAATAACATTTCTCCTGTGCTCTGATCTCAGGAAATATACCGCCATCTTTTCCAGATAATTGAACTTGTCTCTGAAAGTCTGATCAATGTGGTTCTGAATGTCTACTGAGTTTCCTGTTATTTTAATATAATGGAAATGTTTACCAACGTCTGCCCTACATGTGAACTGTTATGTTCCATGTATGATTAAGTATTGCTACAGTACAACGGTGTAGAATTTCAACATCATCACAACAGCGCTGTCTTTGTGAGTCACTATGTGCTCCTTTGGGGGTGTTAAGGGGATTGACGTCAATTGTTATCACTGTTTCCGTGCTTGTAAAGATTCAATATAACATGCATATCATACCTTAACAGTGATCAGCTTATCTTATCTACATCAGGTTTGAGGTAATATATACAAGGAAGAGCTATCACACCAGACAAAATATATTTATCAGTGTTCTGGGGACATACATATGATAGGGATGTGGGCTTTCTAAAGGTCACGAGACAGTTGTTGTTGGTTAAATGTCAATACATCAAAACTTTCACCTTTAAATCTGAGTGGAAAACACGCATCCCACAAACAACAACTTCTTATTGAGCCAAAGTTCAATCTGACAATTATAATCATGTCACTTGCAACAAAACAAAAGTTGCACACTTGTCAAAAGGAACAATTATAGACATATATCTAAGCACAAGACCAGTCATAGCACGTTCATGTCTAACCATCAATCAACCTGTTTAACCTGGGTGTTCATTTCTGCAGCTCCAAAAGTTAACTTGGAGCCCCCAACCAGACACACTCTGTTCTGTTATAGCCCTCTGTTTGGTAACACTTTACGATAAGGGTACATGAGTACTACATGAAGGAATTCATGCTTTTTCATGCATGAATTCATGATGATTCATGTACCCTTACCGTAAAGTGTTACCCTCTGTTTTATATATGGGTCTCTCTGTGAATAACATATAGTTAAGTGCATGTTAGCATAACAGATTATACATTAAAGGTGATAAAATATATGTAGACAGGAGTGATTTATGGATCAATGTTGCTCCTACAAAGAACAGGTGTATAGTTATTTTTGTTTTCTTTAGTAATCTACTTACAGCGATACACTGTTGTAGGTATTGAACTTTTATTGAACTGTTGCCACTGCATACTTTGGATGGAAATGTCAATTGTTCTCTTTTTCTGTGCCTCAATTGGATTGACAGTACAGGTGACAGTTTAGAGACAAGTTGTAATATAGATTAAACTCCCCAAAAGTATATAAATCAAACACATTTTCTTCACATAAAGTTAATGTTACTGTATATTGCATCAGTAAAACTAATAGAATATTATAATAACATTATAAAGACAGGACCCATTCTGCTTAACAAGTATTTTCTACTTAAGGTATGTTTTACTGATGTTTTAATTGCAAAACCTTTATTTGCTATTAAGATTTGCAGTATTTCTGATGTGCAATGCATGCTGTATATAAAAGGCTCTTTGGGGGAATACCATAGATGTTTAAAATACAGAGAGTAGAACCCGTTTTCAACAAGTATTTGTATGTCATTAAATAGCTCTAATTTTGAGGATTTTTCAGTACTGTACAGTGATAGGACTTTTAGTTTGTCAATTTTATAAATGTAATACATCTTTATTTTAACACCAGAAATGTATTGTGTTTTCGTTTACTTCTACTATACAGTAGATTGTTGTAATCTGTAACAGTGAAAGCATCTCAGGTTGCACATCTGGTCCAACAGCACCACCCTGCGTAACTGCTGCCTCATGCACAATCACAACCACGTACCCATTGACACAAAACTACATCTCCCAGGCTCCTCTCTTTAAGGGGCAGGCAGTCATGCGGATGGAAACAGGAGTGGGCATCCGCTTTGCTGCACGAAGAAGAAACTTTGAGGAAAGATGCACGAAGAGGAGGATGGCAGCGAAGCAAACTCCTGCAGAGCTTCTCGGATTGTTGTCTCCAGATCTGTGGAAGTGGCCGACAGCGACGCAGCGAAGGAGCAAGCCTCCAAACTATGCGGATACCTGAACAAACTGTCCGGCAAGGGGCCTCTGAGGGGGTACAAGCCGAGATGGTTCGTGTACGATCCGAGGAAATGTTACTTGTATTACTTCAAGACTCCCCAAGATGCCTTGCCGCTCGGGCACATCGAGATCGGCGATGCGAGCTTCAGCTATGATGTGGAGGGAGAAGAGGGCCAGTTTGAGATCCGCACCGCCGGGAAGGAGTTCCTGCTGAAGGTAGAAACTTTTCAGCATGTGTCGCTCTGCTTTGCTGTCATTTGTCACTTCCTTTCTTATTGTGGAAAAAGGCAGAGACACAACCATTCTTACTACGTGTTATTCCCAGCTTTGATTTAAGTTGGATATGCAAAATACTTCTGCTGACAGTTCTGTGATTTGACAACTTTTAAAGAAAAGCTCGATTAAAAAGAGCCTCTTTTAATATCTACAAGGCTTTCTAACTTTCATACCAAAACTGCAAATATGTTTTGGTATATCTATGTTTCATGTAAATATGTATACTATATATTAATGTTATAAGGTTTATTTTAATTGTATTATTTATTGGTCCTTTTCCTACAATTTTCTTTGACTGTGTTTATACACCAAGACACACTCCTTGTATGTGTAAACCTAGTGCAATAAACCTGTTTCTGATTCTCATTCTGAAATAAAATCCAATATGCGTGTATCATGTTTGCCAAACAAGAGCTTAATCAGCACATTACTCAGCTGATTGCACTGTTTGCATGGATAAACTATTTTAGGGTATACATGCACATGAGCTCATCTGCCCCCATGACCCCACAGCTTTTGAAATGGTCCTCTCATGTGATGATGGTGTCTTCTCTGCCATCATGTGACTGTGACAGGTAGCTCTGGGCTCACTCAGCTGCTCGCTAGAGTCTGGAACATTTTCAGCATATGGTGTGAATGGTTAATACCAAACAGCTTGCAGTGCCTGAGGCTGGAACTGAGACTGAAACCAGCGCCTGCTCTCATTCACATGACGGATCCAAAGAATAACCTTGTGGTTATTTAACATCTTGCCAAGGACAACAGTTGAAAATGAGCCTACTGGCTCATTTACAGCAATGTGGATTAATGTGCTCTGTCCTTTTTAAATAAATAAATAAACAAACAAACAAACAAACAAACAAACAAACCTGCTATTTAAAGTGAACTTAGGCTGTTTCATATGCTTTGTTTAATTCCACAGATGCTCTCCTTTTCCTTGCCATGCTGTATTGATATCAATGTTAAAGATTGTATTGCCTTAGTAGCTTTTATGGCTAAAATGTATTTCCCATGTTAGTACATTGTGTGTGTGTTTTTTTAAAGGCCCCCAGCAGGCAGGTGATGCATTTCTGGCTCCAGCAGTTACAGCAGAAGCGTTGGGAGTACAGCAACACACGAGTCTCCGGTCAGAGAGACAGCTGGAGCTCCCCGACTATGGCCTACCCCCCCACCGGCCTCGTAGGCAAAGAAGGTAGACACATACATGCACACAAACATACATGTATGTGTATGGAAACTCATTCTCACAGCTTGGTTACCTTGTGATAAGGCTGAAAGTAAACACCTGTATCTGAGAGATTAATATTTACACAAGTCGAGTTATTTTGTCGCCAGGTTCCCGGGTAACTACTGAAGGAGCAAGTACAGTAGGAGTGGAAATGATAGGAGTGGTTAGTCAAGCATCGATTAAATGAGAAATCAAAGATACAGCTAAAGAAAGGAGTTCACATCTACTTTATCTGGGGTGTGTTTCATTTAAATGCAATGAAAAAAAATCTCACTGTGTGAACTTCAGGGTTTTCACAAGTAGCTGCCACTCTTATATGATAGAATAAAGACAGCCTAAAAGCATTTACATTATAAACAACAAAGAGGATGTACATAAAATATAAATACTCAGTGTAATATAATTTTAACACCATCAATACCAGTATAAAGTGTTATGGCTATCCAAACAATGTGTGTGCACCACAGTTTTATTATTCTACTTCCTGGGAAAAGACGCTGTAAGCATGACGCTTCTGTGGACTTTTCACATTCTCGACCCTTATGAAGTCAGACATGTTAGTCACATGGTTTGACTGAACGATAGGTTGAGCATAATATCTTTAAATCAGTGTTTGTTGCTGCACTTTATGGATTTGGCTTGTTTTTATTGTTTGGGGTTATACAGCTGTTCTGATCCCATCATTTCTGTCAAAGATTTGACATCATGTTCAAGCAGTCCAGGATATTCTGTAAAAAGAGACTAAAATAGGAAATTTTGAAGGAAATAAAAAATCCAGGGAAAGAGAGTTTAAAAAAACGATTTCAGTTCTGAACTGGGACCAAAGTAGTTAATATGATAACATCAGAACATATATTGTATTTAGGAAATAAGTTATCATAATATCAAAGAATAGCTTTACGGAGCGTCCACACAGCAGCGTGCGTTGACGCTTGGAGGTGGGTGTATCTGAAGCTTGTGGATTTTTTGCGAGCAACGCGACCAACAACCAATCACATGAATCTCCCGCCCCCGACATACAAAGCAATAGCAATGTTAAAACGAAGTAAACTGGATATAAAATCCCCAAACAGGCGAAAACCTACCAGTTTCACCCACTGTCTCTGCCACCTCCCTCCATGCCTCGCTCCTCCGGTTTGTATCCCGGTAGATGAACAGAGACTGATCATACAGCACCGGGTGATTCACTACTGCTATAATGAATTTTCCCTCCATTTTTTGGAATATGAGGAAATGACCTGCGTAGTCTCTCCCAGCATACACGCGGTTTGATTGGCTAGCGCTTGTACTGGCAGATTTGCATAAACGGGATTTCATTGGCTGACGCCTCCGTCGAGGCGTCAAAAGTTGAACATTGCTCATTGGACATTGTGTGGACGGGCCATTGTGCCTTTACTGACCTGACGGCCCGTCCACGCAGCGGCGTGCGTTGACGCTTGCCGGCGGGCGTGTCTGACACTCGACCAACAACCAATCACATGAATCTCCCGCCCCTGACACACAAGCAGCGGTTTGATTGGATAGAGCTTGTACTGGCATATGATTCGATTGGCTGACGCTTCTGCCGAGGCGTCAAAAGTTGAACATTGCTCAACTTTTGCCGCGAGCAATGCCAGCAACGCTCCACGTCGCTTCCCACGATGCAGTTCGGCTAAAAGTGACGTCACCCCATTCAAAGTGAATGGGCTAACGTCCCGTCCACACAGCGGCGTGGGTTGAAGCTTCCAACGCTTCTGCCCATTCACTTTGAATGGGGTGACGTCACTTTTAGCCGAACTGCATTTTGGGAAGCGACGTGGAGCGTTGCTGGCGTTGCCGGCTTCAAAAGTTTAGCAATGTTCAACTTTTGACGCCTCGACGGAGGCGTCAGCCAATGAAATCCCGTTTATGCAAATCTGCCAGTACAAGCGCTAGCCAATCAAACCGCGTGTATGCTGGGAGAGACTACGCAGGTCATTTCCTCATATTCCAAAAAATGGAGGGAAAATTCATTATAGCAGTAGTGAATCACCCGGTGCTGTATGATCAGTCTCTGTTCATCTACCGGGATACAAACCGGAGGAGCGAGGCATGGAGGGAGGTGGCAGAGACAGTGGGTGAAACTGGTAGGTTTTCGCCTGTTTGGGGATTTTATATCCAGTTTACTTCGTTTTAACATTGCTATTGCTTTGTATGTCGGGGGCGGGAGATTCATGTGATTGGTTGTTGGTCGCGTTGCTCGCAAAAAATCCCCAAGCTTCAGATACGCCCACCTCCAAGCGTCAACGCACGCCGCTGTGTGGACGGGCCTTACAGTTTAATTTGTTTAAACTGCTGTAGCTGAGGGGAAATGAGCTGTAAAAAGCCTCTTCCTTTTCCTGTCATTACATATACATGACTAATGTTTTTCTTTTTAAATAATAAAAAACAGAACACTAATGTTAACTTTGTGTTTACAACATTTTAAAGGTATTTAGTTAAACATATGTTTATACTTGATTTAGTTTATTTGTATAAAATACATAAAGTTTAAACATTGTACAGCCCCAAACAAGACAGATTACCTCAAACAAAACAAAAATAAAATTATAAAGGGCTTAAAGGTGGGGTAGGTCATTTTGGAGAAACCAGCTCGAGTGTGCTAGAATTTGAAAATACACAGCTGGAAAAAATCTGCCACTTCCTTACAGAGCCCCTCCTCCAACACACACGAACGCTCACATGACCAATGAGGGCACGAGATAAGTTTGTGCACAGAATGGAAGGCTGACAGGCAGGTAGGCCATCCAGTTATTTTAGCCGGGCCGACTAAAATGATTGGTCGTGCTTTTTACAGTACTACGGCTTCCACTGATGACATTTTTTAATGGATTTTTTGTCAAAGCACTTAAGATATTCATTGCTATCGGGATGTTAAGAGCATTCCATGGAATATAACAAAAAGTGTATCTCGAGCCGGTTTCTCAAACTTACCTACCCCACCTTTAAGAGGACTTCAAATGTTTTATATTTTATACATAAAATTGACACCCTGGGTTGTTTTTTGTCTTAGAAGTTCTTGACCTTTTGTCAGCGAGCTGTGATGAAATGTTTCCTGTGCAAGAGAAATTTGGGAAATTAGTAATCTCCTTAACTGGAATTTTCTCTCACAGAGGATATTAAATGTTTTATGTTGCTCTTTTTGCACGGCTACTAGTGAAAGATCAAAATGCCTAAACTTCTCTTCACACTATAAACAAGATGCAGGAATATCTGGTAAAATAGTAAAAGGATAAGGCGCATCAAAACAACCGATGCTTTAAATGCGGGACTAATTTGACCATATTAATAAAGCAGGCACAGCTTTAGAGAGGCTGGCAGGATTAGTTTTTCTTTTTTTGAAGATGTCAGCTGAAATGTTTAATCAGTACACAATGAGTTTGAACAAAGTCCTACTTAATTGCAGTGTCACAACAGCTACAGTATGTAGTTCCCACTTTCAACAACATTTCTGTGGAGTTGGTTCGCCTTTATAAAATGTTCCCTTACTTAACCAACTCATTTCATACAAAGAGGAAACTTTATTTTTAGGCTTCTAGGCTCAGAAATGCTACATACTGTATGTCCTCATGGTTAGAGAAACCACATACATCCACCCTGTTGTAAATAGCATTCCGGGTAACTCTAAATGTTGCCTCACTTTGTGACGATTCAGTGTCATGATAATATAATTTCCTCAACGAATGGATGATAAAGCAGCGGTACTGATAAACAGTTTTCGTGATATGAGTAATGCGTTATTATAATCATGTTCTTAAAATGAATTTTAATGTAATTTCAGATGCGCTCGTCTTTGAGAAGCTAAGTGAAAGCATGGAGAAGGTCCGCCACGACTTTTCTCTGGAGACAGAAACAGATGGTGGAGGGATGGTGGGCATCCAGTCAGCCCGGGGGGGGCCTTCTGCCGGGTCGACAAACCCCCTCAACTTCTCCATCAGAAACTTCGGTACAGAACTCAGGTACGGCCGAACAATGATTATAATATCGTACCCAGAAGTGTTTGTTTTGAGTTCCTGTCAAACTGGCACAACCAGTTTTATCTGCTCTGTGCCCTGAAATAAATTAACAAAGCTACCTCTTTAGTTGTTCCTGAGGTTCACTCCAGGAGAGGAAATGATTGTATCCATAGCTCACTAGTTGTTCTAGTGTGCAACCATCAACAGTTCCCTTTCTGGGCCGTACAACACTTCTATTCAAATGAAGCAAAACACTGAAATGCTCAAAATGTGACATGGTTTGGAATTTGCTTTGTATCTCTGATAAGAAGAGAGTTGCACATGATTCATGGAGCATTCATTCTTATAGCATCTATTTTTATGATGATATCTCTTGTTTTGAAATACATTAACTTTTATCAGTTGTAACTTATGATCAGGGCAGCAATGTCTTACAACAAGACACTTTGCTGTAACACCTCTTATATGTATGAGGTGAGAGAAAGGCTTGAAGTTCATGCAGCTGCACACAAATAATCGTGTGGTTGCAGTGGTCTCACATTTAAAAGTGTGAAAACATCAGTCTCTACGGCTTATAGGCCCTTTTTATATTTGCGATAAAGAATGCCTTCCATTTATGTTTGTTTTTAAGAAAGCCCTATGTGTAAATTATACTCTCCTTTCAAGTGAAAGCTGGACATCTCTACCTGTATTGTGTTGCATTGTGTACAGCTACAGTTCTGTTGCCAATGCCTGTGGGAAAAGTGTAAAGACCTCAACAAAGGCCGTTTGTGCTAATGTTACCATTTGCAAACTAGCAGCACAAGTTTGCCCTTGATCCCTGTGGATTTGAAAATCTTCTACATAGTAGCATACTCTTAATGTCCAGCAGCACGACAGCCCCACAGTCATGGTCTTACTCATCCTTACTTCTGGTTTCTGTTCTCTCAGGAACTCCATGTCTTATCTGCGGCCGGGCAGAGGAGGTGAGAGCAGACGCAGTATGTTTTACACCAACAGCAACAACAGTGCGGAGGAGTGGGAGCTCGTAGACACTCCAGCCAAGGACTTCGCCGAACAGAAACATCCTCCAGACACTCACAGAAGTACGTCCACTCCCTGCTTCCTCTGGACATACTCAGTTACATCCCCCAGAGAAAAAAACTGTCTTTTATTGCTCCACTCATTTGCTCAATACTCTGACAAACAGACAAACAATGCCTTATTCCCAAGAGATTCTGTCTGCTCAACACAAGTCACTAATTTAATTACGTATTTATCTCTCCTCTCTCAGATTCCTTTGGATCAGCGTTTACATTCGACTTTGTGCGCAACTCAGCGCGACCCAGGAAGCCTTTGCTCAGAGACAAGATGGGCTCTGGGAGGTTCGGGCGCTCCGCAGAGACAGGCAGTGCAGAGAACTCCCCGGTGGAGTGTAACGGCAGCAAACCTTTGGAGATGCAGCTTCGCCTCCAGAGCCAGCAGGAAGAGCTGAGCCGCATGCAGCAGGAACACGCCAAACTCAGAGAGGAGCTGGCCAGTCAGAAGGTACAACTATCCTGTTATTTCACATATGTTGATCACATGAAAACATTCTGGGGTAGAGTCTACAGAAAGAGTATGGGGAAATGGTTACAAATATTTAGATTGTGATTCACTAAAAGACATGTTTCTGGTTAGTAGTATTCACTTTAATGTTTAGAGCTTCATTCAGAGGGTCTTGTTAGGTTTCTGAACTGTTGATTCAGGCTGTTAGTCATCATACCAATGGTTTTGTTTACTGTAATACCTACAAATTAATGTAGAAAAACTGTAAAGGCTGAATTGACTTTATGTGTGTATTATCTTAGGATGTATACCAGGTTGACTCAAGTGGTTTTGCTAACACTTTAGTTTATTCAGCACACGCATGGTGTCTGACTGAGCAGTTTGGTATAATCCTGATGCTCTCACTAATACAGGAAGACAGCAAATGATTAGTCATGCTTTAGAGAGAACTGAGGAAACTGCAGTTCTTTCAACAACAATCTCATTTGGGACATTCCTTCCCATTGCTCTTTGTTCTTGTTTCAGTGTTTTAAATGAGCAAACTGGTCACAATTGCTACAACATTAACCAGATAAATATGTAATGTGTGAGTATATGCTTCCCTGTCATATGGCTCACTGGCATCAAACGTTTGAGAAAAGTTAATGGAGGAAGTGATTCAGTTGGTTGAATCTGCGTTAGTGTTATTGGATATGTTCAGTCATTCCTGGTTCTGCTTAGCTCGTATGGACTAAAGCAGACAGTAATCATATTGATTTATGGCCTTCAGGTAATGTTGGATCTAGACTTTTTTGTTGTTGTAACATTGCAAAGAAATAAATGTTTCCACCTATTCTTCTTTGTATGTGGTGCTCATGAGAACAATGGCATTCTTTCTTGACAGAAACTATGTTGGGCTTTTCTAATTTCATTAATTGTCATTCCTCTGTCTGGACAGTTTTTTTTACCTTGCCATCCACAATGTTAGGAAACGCTTGGCAATGAAAACTGTTTGTGTTTGTCACAGTTACTTTATCTACTAATGTGTAACCGTGACATGCAAGTGGGTGTGTATGCTTGAGTGTAGGTCACACACACTTGTGCAATTATGTGAGTCAAGTATCTGCACTTTCGCCACAGTATACCCCTAATAATATACACACTAAACTTCTGTTATTTAGTCTCATGCTCTGTCATTACATGCAGCTGGTTGTCTGTGCATTGTTTGGCTGTTGTGCTGCTTAGATGGCCTGTGTCAAACAGTGTGAACTAGCAGGGCTTCTTTCAGCAAATTATTTGGTAGAGAGGGGAAAACACACTCCCTGAAGCATTCAAATTACTTTGCAAAAACAGCAACAATAAAATAAAATGAAAATTGGGACTATGTTTTTACCATGAAGTATAAGATAATTGTGATTGTTATATAATAGATCATTATAAAAAGTTCTTTCTTTTTTAATGACGTTGTTTTAGCTGAGATAGCCAAACTCTCCCTGAACATATTGTCGTTAAATAGTTTATTGTTAATAATAAAAAATGGGCTATTGTTACTTCTACGATATATATTATGACAGAAAACAATAAATTCATTTTGGAAGCGACACTCGTTTGGTTATATAGTTATGCTTCTGGACCCAGCAGTATAAAGTGTAAGAAATTATGAGAAGGAATAAAAATGATGTCCAAAGTAATTATGCGCTGCTGTTATTCAAGTAAAATTCCAGCAAAGAGAATATGCAACTGTCCCACATTTTAAGGCATAATCTTGACCCTGTAAAATGTTGTGTTGACAAATAAAATCCCCTTTCCCCGACAGGAGCTGGTGAGGCTCCTGCAGCAGACCCTGAGGACCTCGCAGTGCGACAGGCAGCCGGTTCACCGTCCAGCCCCGGCTCCAGATCCATCCGCAGCTTCAGACCAGATTCAGGGTCCGGCCGTAAGCCAGGAAGGAGTCGCCCAGGCGGAGGCCCTGCTTCAGGAGAAAGACGGACAGATCCAGGCCCTGTGTGGCCACATGGAGCGCCTCGCCTTAGAGAAGGAGAGTCTGCAACAAGAGCTGAAGGGCCTGAAGATAAAGGTGGGGGAGATAAACGACCAGCTGGGGATGCTGATGGAGACCATCCAGGCCAAAGATGAAGTCATCATCAAACTGTCGCAGGAGGGCTCCGAGCAGAGCGGCAACCCAGACAACGGTTCACCCCCTCCTTACAAAGATCAGCAGGAGGTAGACATCCTCAAGGTACAGAAAGAAACACAAGGAACGAGATTTAAAGCAAATAGAATGTAGACAGATCATCTGAACTGAAAGTGTATAGGACTATATCAATTATATTAGGTTATAGAATTAACTTCTTAAACTGTAGACATTTTAAAGCTGTTTTCAAATGTTTTCTCATGGTTTGATTATGCTCTAGTTAATGTTTTACTCTGCGTAACCCAATACATGTTTCTCCAATTTCAGGACAGTCTTCAAGGCTACAAAACCCAGAACAAGTTCCTGAACAAAGAGATCCTGGAGCTGACCGTGTTACGCAGGAGTGCAGAGAGCAGAGAAAAGACCTTAGAAGCAAAGGTATATCTTGTGTTTGTTTGTAATGGTGTAACTCTGTTAATAGAAACAGGAAGTCTGAGTAGCTAGCAGGGGAAGTCCAGCATTGGCCCCCTTAACCTCAAAATTCCAAGTAGAAGCAATGAATAATGCATCATGATCTTGCCTGCCGTCAGTTATGATAACAAAGATGCGGATTATATTTCTCTGTTATCTCTGCTGCAGTATACGTCCCTGGAGGCCAAGCTGTGTCAGGTGGAGAGTAAGTATCTGGTGCTGCTTCAAGAAGTGAAGAACCCGGTGTGTTCGTCTTCGGAGCAGAGCCCAGCCCGAGAGGTCATCTCCAGATTACTGGAGGACGCGCTGCAGGTAGAGAGCTCCGACCAGCAGGACCACCTCATCTTCAAACCAAATACTGTCAGGTATGGCCAAAAAGCCTTTATGAATGGATGTTACGATAGATGTTTCATTTCTCTATAATGTTCTGATTTTAACTGATTTATATAAGTGTCTAAGTTGTAAGAGCAAGTTAAAACTATTTTACAGAATTTTTAAAATACACGTTTCAGTTCATTTATACATGTTTTGCAAACAACTACATGTAGAGGCTATCACATTGTAGTTAAAATGTCTCCAGAGTATCACTAAAATATACAACATAAAAGACAAACCCATTGCAGGAGAGTAGACCTAATAATATAATGTCTTCATCAGATCTGTTTTCATTTTCTCTTTACTGGAAAAACTAGCTCTGCTAATTAGCATTTTGTTTGCTATTGCTGTTGCTCTGCAAGCTCAGGCATGTTCTCGCCAAAATGTATCATTAGAAATTCAGGCAATCTCTACAGTAACTGATGTAGCATTGAAGGCAGGTTAAGCAAATGTGGGTCCCTATAAAAGTGTAAATACATTTTATAGTGAATTTAGCATCACTGATTGATTATTATCTCCCCCATGTTCTCTCTTCCCTGATCTAATATCAGTGAGTATGACACATTCGGCTTCAAAACCGTCCCTGAGGAGGAGGAAGAGGAGGAGAAGCTGGATGCGAAGGTGAGAGCTCTAGAGCTGAAGTCCCTCTCCATGACGGATCAGGAGGTGTCCGTCGGGGTGAAGTGGGAGAACTATCTGTCCAGCATCATGAACAGAGATATGGTGCGCTCCCCTGAGCTCAAGGCCCTGTTTCGGAGCGGCGTTCCCCATGAGCACCGCTCCAAGGTGTGGTGCTGGTGCGTTGCCTTCCATGTAAAGAAGTTTAGGGACCACCTGCCGGCAGACTACTATGAGACCCTACTGAACGTGGCCCGGGACAAGCCCAACCCGGCCTCCAAGCAGATCGAGCTGGACTTACTGCGCACTTTGCCCAACAACAAGCACTATTCCTCCCCGAGTGCCGGCGGGATCCAGAAACTCAGGAACGTCCTGATGGCTTTCTCCTGGAGGAATCCGGATATCGGCTACTGCCAGGGACTCAACAGGTACAAGACGGACTCTACCATCTCTCCTTCTCTTCTTTTATGCCCTTTAACCACTTATATTCATTGTATGTCATTTCTTCAGGCTGGCAGCTATTGCCCTGCTCTATCTGGACCAAGAGGACGCCTTCTGGTGCCTTATAGCCATTGTGGAGGTCTTCATGCCAAGAGACTATTACACAAAGACTCTGCTTGGCTCACAGGTAAACAAGCTCAAAGGTGCAAGCATTGGGACACATAGAGACATGTTTCTGCCTCATTAACCAGAGTGTACAGGTTTCACTGTTGTCAGTTTGGTCGTATTCATGTGACTTATAATAGATTGTAGAATAATGCAGCAGTAGTGATCTGCACTGTTTGATTCCTTTCTCTCTTCTGAATTTGACCCCATGGTTAATCCTATTGTAAAACAAAAGTTATCTGTTCATGATGAAGAATTAACTAACGTTTGTTGGTTGGATCTGTGCAGGTTGACCAGCGTGTGTTCAAGGATCTGATGTGTGAGAAGCTCCCCCGGCTTCATGTCCACTTCGAGCAGTACAAGGTAGACTTCTCCCTCATCACCTTCAACTGGTTCCTGGTGGTGTTTGTGGACAGTGTGGTGAGCGACATCCTCTTCAAGATCTGGGATGCCTTTCTCTACGAAGGTCCAAAGGTGAGAGGCAGACGAGACCGTAAAGCTTTGATCCTCTGAGCTCACATAACCTGATTTCTGTCTGGACATGCTGGCAGAGCTCTGAAGGAAGCTACAAAATTAGATAAGGAGAGCATAAAAAAAAGGGCTGTAGCATTTCAGTTGGCTGAATTTAAATGGGCCTTCTTCTACAGATGGTATTTAGGATTAGTTTTCTGCTTGTTCAAGTTCCCACAAGTGCCAGTTGTTTGGTTCAACCCACTGTTTGCCAACCTTATCTAACCAGCAGCTCATAGTGAAGAACCCACATGTGTTTACACCAAACCCTTCACAACCCTCTATAAGAGCTTTTAAGCCAGTTTTAACTTTTCTTTTTTGCAAGCAAATTGTTTGCTAACAGTGTTGTCACTGTTTATCTCTGTTTCGGGCAGTGGAATTTGTTATTCATTTATCCAGCAGAAGCATAGCAACATTGCATTCATTTGGAATTGTGTTTGTGACTAAAACAAATATTCACTTTTCTTTTTAGTGTCGGTTTTGTTGTCCTCCATATTCTGCAGGGAATATCTGGCATTTTAGCCTCTTATGGCAACACTGTGTTTACCAGTTGATCTGAAGACTTTGGTTGTCTGCTTTTTTTGTGTGGTTCAGCTGGTGGACACAAAGTCTGTTGAAAATATCAGTCAGAGGGGTGAAGGTGAACTAAAACAGTATAGTTGAACTTGTGAGCCAACAAACCAAAACACTGAGTTAAAGAAAGCTTTAAAACTAAAGCTATTCAGTAGAGCTGAGAGGAACTGCAAAGTTTTGTAATAATTCTGTGTGTTCATCACTATGGGCAAACACTTTAACACACAAGTCATGTGATACCATTGTTGCCATATGAATATATATATATATAGATTAAAGCCACTTTATTAATGTAGATCAGGGGTGCCCAATACGTCGATCGCGATCGACCGGTCGATCGCAAGGGTAGTGTGGGTAGATTTTAAAGTTAGCCTATCATCCATCCTTACTATGGCATTTGCCACTTGATTGACGTACAGGTAAGCCAGTCTGAGTAGTATTGTGCCATACGGGTTCATGCCGTTATGAGGGGGCCTCACCTCCTCACCTGAAGCGCAAATGCGGCGCACTGTTATACGCTGAAGCGGCGCAATTAGTGTAAGCGCGCCACAGTTTATCCGCCGTTTAGTCCACTAGCATTTATCCCCCTCCCCCCGCTCACGACACAGATTGGGCTGTAGGTAGATCATTTGGGCGTGGTCATTTTAAAAGTAGCTCCCAAGCTGAAAAAGTGTGGGCACCCCTGATGTAGATCCTATGCACTGCTCTGTGGTCGGATTCACCATTTTGTTCAGGTGTTAACTTGATGAATGAAACACTTTTTTTTCATAACAAGACTGTTTGTTCAGACATTCCTCTAAAATTAATAAAAATTGCCTCCAGTCTTTTAAAGTGTCCTCGCATGTCAGAGGCATGATGTGATATGTTTCATTATCGTACGGTCATGCATGGATAGTCATGAAATAGATTTCATGGCTTTTTTCTCCACAGATCATGTTTCGCTGCGCCCTCGCTCTCTTCAAGTACAAAGAGGAAGAGTTTTTGAAGCTAGAGGATTCCACAGCTATCTTCAAATATCTCAGATACTTCACACGCACAATCCTGGATTCAAGGTACAGCGTCCGCAATGGCTTATCATATCTTCATGCTCTGTGGCCGGTTTACAAACAAGCATCTTATCTACAGTCTAATATGAGTTGTAACTTGAAACATATTAAACAGGACAGCATGCAGAATAAAAGCAAACCATCCCAGACTGATATCCTTGTTTTGTTTTTTCAGGAAGCTGATGAACATCGCTTTTGGGGACATGAACCCGTTCCCCATGCGGTCGATCCAGAACCGCCGCTCCTTCCACCTGGAGAAGGTCCGCCTGGAGCTGACGGAGCTGGAGGCCATCAGACAGACCTTCCTCCGGGAGAGAGAGACGACTCAGGACAGGCGGAGCTTCGTCAGCGACGATGAGGAGGATAACTGAGGTTAAGCCTGCTGCTGAAGTATGAAGCGATCATGTCCAGAAGTCCCTGATGTGTCGCAGTTGAAAAGGGATGTTTCCTAAAGGATTGTTGGAGTTGTTTTCCGAGACAGAATAATCAACTTTTATACATTTTGATTGAAACTGCATCAAAAGGCCAAAACATTACAAGCCGTATGGGCTTTCTATCAGTATTCTTGCCATTTAAAAAAACAAAAACGTTATTATTGTATGCTTTATCATGTCTCTTCCACTTTCAATGCCAAACTTTACTTTTTCTGTCTGAATCAGTATTTCTTTTTTCAACTTGGCTGTGGTCTTAGGCAATTCTGTTCCTGTTGAAGGATTGATTGTATTGTAATTTTTCTTTTGTTTAACTTTTTGCTGTCTCTGCCCCAATTCCTTTCACACATATCTTCAGATTGTTTACCTTAATCATTATTTTTATATTTTCCTGATGCCACTCAACAACACACTTTTGTGTTTTATCCCTGTCTATCAAATGCACTTAAATCACTTATGCTGAAATTCAAAATGCGCTGAAAAGTCTCAGAGCCTTATGATCACAAAGTCGTTCCACATCCTGCACATCACTCTAGCCTCACAGGTGTTCGTATTACACAAGAATACACACAAAGGTGTTTTCAAGAATCCCATTTATTAATTATTAGCAAAACAGCAACATTACGAGGAAGAATTTTCCCATTTTATTATCTCAGGATTCAGATTAAATAACTTCCAAATTGTGAGATTATTTTTGTTATATCATTTTAAACTTAAATTCCACTTAATTACTCAATGTTCCCAAAGACATGTCTGACAAACTAATACTTGTTTACATCTAAATTTGCGCTTAACTTTGTAAAAAAAAGTAACAGGCAATGGATTTGGTTAGCAGAATAATTGAAAATAGCATTGATTTAAAAAAAACATGTCAGTGAATCTATAGAAATTACCGGTCTGACCATTTTATTTTACGTATTCTAAGATATGTGAATTTAGACTAATTTTCCATGACTTGTTTTAGTAATGTCTTAATTTTTCTAAACATAAATTGGGTTTGTTAGGTGTTTAAAGCGTTCAATTTCCCCTTATTTTGCCAGATAAACATGCATAATGCTGTTATTTCTCCTCTGATGTATTTGCATCTCTTGTCCACAGTGTGGCAGTATAACATTGTGTCTCGCCTGTGTTTACAGTTGTTCACAGGTATCCCTCCACACAGTATGATTTATACAGTTTATTATACTGTACTGATAAAATAGCTGTGTAGTCCATCTGTCGGCATGATTGTGTGTGAAAAATTGAAATATGATTTGTAATCTATGAGGGAAGTGTTTCAGGATATTTCAAGACGTGTGTAGCAACATCTTTCTTCCACATCCAGGTACTTACAAAAGACAGTTGACTATAGCACTGTGACCGTCTTCTCTTTTCAACACAGTCTCATGGCATTTCGTGTTATAGTCACGAAATGTATCTATTGATTCGTGTTCACCAACACGATTTCCCCATTTTTTTCGTGTCACACAGAACGATTTTAAAAGCAATGTAAATAACAACAAATTAGGAGGAAAAACAGATTAAAAAAAATACAGATTTCAGTATTCTGACAGAACGATTTTAGAAGCAATGTATTGGTAGTTTGTTTCGTGCCTGCACCAAATAATAACAAATGAGAAGGAAAAAGAGATGACAAAAAATACAGATTTCAGTATTCTGAGGCTCTGAGCCCCATTTATTTTCCTGGCGGACGGCAAAAAAACTCAGACATTATACAATTTAAAATAAAAAGGGATATACCCTATAGGCCTATATATCTTTTTATTAGGGTAAGATATTGAGTAAGAAAATGTGTTTATGAACCACACAGCTTCTGGTATTCCAAGACCCGACCGGACAAAAAGACGTGGTGCAGGCACGAAACATACTACCAATAGAAATACATTGCTTTTAAAATCGTTCTGTGTGACACGGAAAAAATGCGAAAATCGTGTTGGTGAACACGAATCAATAGATTAAATTAATTTCGTGACTATAACACGAAATGGCATGAGGCTGGGTTGCTCTTTTACGGCATTTCTTTGTTTTACAATGTATAATGTTTAACAGACCCGCCCGTTGGGGAAAACGGATCTACAGTAGGCCTACTTGCTTAGAAAGAAACCATGTTTATATTTGGTAAATCCACAGTGGAAAACTGTAGTTTGAATGGGAATCTTCAAGACAGGGAGACATGTAATTACGTAGCCGCTTCTCTTGTATGCTGATATATTGTTTACAGTTACTGTTCTTTTTTATGTTACTTTTAAGCTGTTTACAGATTTTTCCTTGCTGTACGTTATATCATTGACTTCCAGATCAGCTACAGCATCATGTTACTTCTCTGTTAGACCACCTGAACTTGTTAACAGTTGTTATAATTGTAGTCGTTTATAATGAGGGACACAGGAATGTTGGATGACTTGTAGAAGCAGAGATGGATTTTGTATTTCTCCATGAGAGCAGGGCTCTCTAGAGATTTGACTTTGATGGCTTTGAGATGAAAGGTTTTCTGGGGCCCATTCATTTTGTCATACAGTACTTTTGCCCATATTTTAAAACATATCTGTTCTACGGCTGGTTCACATTTATCTTTTGTTTTCATATGGAATAAGCTACATTTATTGTATCACCCTTTCTTTCTTTTCTCTGTTGCCTTCTTTCCCAGCAATGTATTGCACAAGTATTATGATAAGTTGACTTCAGAATTATATGGGGTACTTCACTTCTTTATATGTAAACCTCTATGGTATCTTGTTAATTGTTAATCTGTATCAATTAATCATAAAAACTGCAAAGCTTTTATGTTACAGCATTAAGTATACGCCACTGTATGTTTTTGTAATACCAGCGAAAAGACACATTCAATAAACAATGGCTGACTGAGTGTGAGTTGTTTATAAGTAAATAAGTAAAAAGAAACATCTTGCTTTGGTAATCCTCAGTTCCTAAAATGCTTATATTATATAAATATTATTATAAATAAACAGCAGACATGTTGGTCATCTTTATTGATAGCCTGCCTCTCATGCGTGCTGTTTCGTAATGGGCCATCAGGGGGAGGGACTTCTGAAGACACAAAAGCCTGATGGAGCTGCCATAAGTGACAGAAAACAACAGAGGAACGTTGTGTGCCTGAACTGCAGCCACGAGGACAGACAACCGACTGTAAAGAACCGATGCAAGTTTATCATCAGCTCTGCGTCCAAAATAAGTTACAACATAAGGTCAGTTTGTGGAGCCACTTCATTGTGTGACATAAAACGTATCAGAAAGTCTAGTATTTCAGTTTTCTTCTTTACATTTGTGTATGTACCAAAGGGGTTTCTCTGATTGTTTTTTACTGGATAACTATTCTGTTTTTAAACTAATTCAGAGCAGTAACATTATTAAGAGTTCTAAAGCATGTGTTGCTGCAAATGTCAGCCTTTTTGCCAGACTAAGGGTTTCATAACAGTAGCACATTTCACATATCCTGCCCTAATTACCCAAAATGCTCTTTCCTTTAATTAGTAATCCTGTTGTAATCATTCGACTGTTCCTGCTACTGTTAAACTTCCCAATTTGGCACTGTTTAATGAGTTGTGCCTGCAAGTTTCTAAACTTTCTAATAAACAGTATTTAGACAAATGAAAGACGGATTAAGTGCATATTTTTAGATTTGTGTTTGCTGTTGATTTAAAAACCCTCCTTTGCTGTTGTTAAAGCTTTCTCAACATGCAGTGGAAGTACCTCTGCGATGGAATGCTATACAGCAAGCTGGAACTTGTAAACATATTCATCTCTTCTGTCAGAAATCACCAGGAACTCCTCTTTCTATCCGCAGGGTTGGACTTGCTGATTAGGAGAAGAAGACTTCTGAATAGAAGGGCTCCAGTGGTGCTCATCAAGGAGATAAATCACACCAATGAAGACGCCTGGCATGGCGGTATTCAAGCAACAGAATGTGGACGATTTATATGAAATTGGGGAAGAACTAGGAAGGTAAGTGTTTTTCAAAGCTGTACATTATGAAATGTTGATTTCAACCCCTTAGAAAATGATCCTCCTCATATTTGTATGACTAAGAGTGACTCAACTCTTCACTGCATGCCTCTGTGGTACCACAGCAGTGATCCTCATGTGGATGTAGGTCTGCAAACAGTTGGCTTGTTTAAGCATGAAATGGGGAGTGTTGAAGTAGGTTGAAGTTTACAGCGAGAGATAAAGTTTCAAAAGTAAATACACTCCAGGAAAACCACCTCTGTTTGGGCACGATAATATGTTCTAACCAGGAAAGAGAGTCTAATTTCATTAACTGGTGATTGTTGGGGTATCAATTTCTTAATGTTGATTGGATGAGTGATAATCAAACGTGACATTGAAAACACTTTGTCCCAAGGGGAAATAGATTAAAGGAAGTCTGCAGGGTGCAGTTCGTGTTGAGGAAGCTACAAATCTACTCTTCACGTTAAGGACAGCTTTGGCATGTGCTAACAGACAGAGAAGGTGTGAAAGAAAAGGGTCTGACCTCTCACCTTCACTAATAGTGAAAATATACTTAATGTCCCGGTGTTTGCTCGCCATTTACTGCAGAGCTACTCTGACACACCCTGACAGGGGAAATTAAGACCTGGTGTTGAAATGTGACTCCACCTGCATTTAAACCTCTGTACAGAAGAGTCAGAGTGTGTGTGTCCAGCAATCTCTCTCCTCATTTTGCTTCACAGATATCTGCCTCATGAAATAATTAAATGCATCTGCAAATTGAAAGCTGTATTGTTATGAGGATAATAATTCAATTTGCTTAAATGACAATGGAATGTCGGAATCTATGTATTAACATTTGTGAGCTTAATGTGTTATCGTCTTTGTTTTTGAAATCTTTATTAATGAATAAGAATATTATTCTCAAACATTAGGTGCCCTTTTGAGTTATTAAAGAGGCAACAGTAGCTCTTATTCATAGATTTTAAGAAATGAACGATTACTGAATTATTTTTCAAGAGTAGAACTCTAAACAAAAGTATATCAAAAGTCCTTTTCTAAAGCGTATATAGGTAAAGGATTGATAAAGGGTGTTACTGGAGAGTAAATCTGCTGTATGAAAGGCGTGTAAATGTGTTGATTGAAGACTGACAATACCACTGTGGTTGGAAACATGTTACTTGATAAGAATACCCTGCTGGGGGCTGAGCTCTGTCTGTGCTCAGCATCTCCGTCATGGGAAATGTATGTGGTTAAAAGCCGCAGATTCCTGCGACTGAAAACAGAAATGCCTTTTCAGTCACAGAAAGTTTCAGAGAACTTTAAAACCAATTCGGCAGCTGGGTTTCTTAGCTTGCAGTTCTTCTGAATTGTTGTGACAACTTTGTAGTGTTTTTGTAGGATGAAGCCCACCCCGCCTACAGTCTGCCAAAGCTTCATGAGCTCTCCAATGCACGCCACAATGGAAATATTACTTAATCCTCCTCTCAAGAGGGTGGGGAAATTTGATAGGGGGGGCCAAAAACTGATCTGTGTTGAGTATTTAAGATGTTCTGAACCCTATGGAACTGTTGAGCCATTAGCTGCAGGAAAGTTGATTAATCATGCTGCAACCCTATTGACAGATTGTAATGTCAAAGGCCCCACACAGTTGTACTCAATGTTCCTTTCCACTACTGACTATAGTTTTTGGTAAACCAATCTGTAGAACAACCCTTTGCTCGGGACGTTAGGCATTTACTTTCCTGTCTTACCATCTGAGTGATGACACAGACTTATGATGACGTACAGCAGGAAGTGTTTCAGTGTTAACCCACAGCTGTCCAGTCCTCCCACAATACTGCTGAGACTAGTGAACTGTTACACAAGTGACAGTAGAGCAGATGGAGAACTTTGTGAGCTGTACCTGTCAACAACAGGTTCATTCTTGTCCATGTTTTTTCAGAACACCGGAGTACTTTTATACCTTTATTACATTATTGTTAGTCATCATCAAGCTACAGCAATAATTCACAGGATGCATCATTAGACAGGAAGTGCCATTGTCTTTGCATAGTAAAAGGATTGTAAACTTCCTCCTAATTTTTTAATCCGTGAATACTGCACTTTCATCATAATGGACTTTCTGTTTCAGCCCTGCTGGTCATGGCTCTAGCAACAGCAATATATTCAGTGGGTCCACTGCTTTGGTCTAGCCTGAATTAACTTGACACTTTTGGATTGCAAATACACTAATGAACAGACATTTATCACACATAGAGGATGCTAACTTTGGTGATCCTCTGACTTTTCCTCTAGCATCACCATCCAACCCAGTCTCACGGCATTTCGTGTTATAGTCACGAAATGTAATCTATTGATTCGTGTTCACCAACACGATTTCCACATTTTTTTCGTGTCACACAGAACGATTTTAAAAGCAATGTAAATAATAACAAATGAGAAGGAAAAAACCCTGAAAAAATACAGATTTCAGTAGTCTGACACAGAACGATGTATTTCTATTGGTAGTAGACTATGTTTCGTGCCTGCACCAAATCATAACAAATCAGTATTCTGAGGCTCTGAGCCCCATTTATTTTCCTCACGGACGGCAAAAAAAGTCCGACATTATACAATTAAAAATAAAAACAATAATCGTTGCTTGATATTGAGTAAGAAAATGTTGTTATGAACCACACAGCTTCCTGTCTTCCAAGACTCGACCGGACAAAAAGACGTGGTGCAGGGTTGGAAAGTACCACTGTCCCGAACTACATCTGCACAGAGCTGCTGTCTGTTGTTATTGTATTACTCAAATCCAACTGAATGCAGGAACATTGAAAAGGTCACATCACGCCACCCTTAATATGCAATGTATTTTACACTCTTTTTCTGTGTACTGCTGTATCTTTCATTTCTAGAAATACTCGCTGAATGCATGCAAAAGGGAAATGAATTGGAGAAATGTTTTCAGTTAGCAGAAGTTTGTTGTCTTTGGACAGGATGCAGAGAGGGCGGCGATTCACACTTAAGGCCGCAGCCCTCACAGGCGTGAGATGTGTTGATGTGAAAAGAGTTGACAGTCACAAGACAGGTGCTGCAGATGAACACATGGTGCTGGTGGTGTGTCTAGAGAGGGTACAGTAGGCATGCATTTACAAGGAGGGAATAAGAATGAGTGTAGTCAGCTGTAAGGAACAGACATTCTTGCTGTTGAGTGGGTGAAAAATGTGTTTATTCAGTGCAGCCTGACGCAGGGAACTCCACGTTGACCTCTTCGACATTCCCGGAGTTCCCCCTTTGACAGAGGTCACCGTGTTACTGTCAGCAGGCACTCACACAGCCAGATGCATTGTTGACATTGGACAACATCAAAACAAGAGGGAATCTAGACTAGAGTATCCTGAACATGTTATGGTCATAATTGTGATATATTTCATCATAATAGGGTTTTCAACACTCGATAAAACTATATTTAATGCAATGATGAGTCATATTCTGAGCTGCTTCTTCGTCACATTGAAGATCACAGATGGTTAGGGACTGGGCTCGGTCAATTATATAGCTGGCTGTCTTTGTAACACCACCCCAGAGGTTCAGTTGAGAAATGTGTTTAAATATTGGGCCGGCGCCACTTGTCCGAGCATTCCTCCAACCTTTGCTGTGGATACTGACCTTCAGCTGTTGGAAGTGGAAACTCAGCAGGGAGACGGTGCTTTCAGCCCCACCGGCCGGCTTAGAGCTAAGACAGACGGCACGCCTGGCCCGCTGTGGAATACCACTCCCAGCATCCCCGCTTTTCCCAGTGTTACTCTGCACCTCGTAGCAACACTTCAGTAAAGCCCCTTGCATTGGGCCACAACAAACACCACGAGGGGTCACTGTCAAGGGCACTGCTGCTGCCACGTGACAGGCCATCCTTTCAGTGTGTTGTTTGTTTATGCAAGTGGAATTCATTGAGCGAGTTCCCCTTCTCCTCAGGTCACACATTATCGTAGTCGTTTCAGTGTTCAGGGATGTCTCAGGGGTGGAAATGTCCTGTGAATAGAACAGATAGACGGAGTATTTCAGATTCCTGCCCTGTCCTGTCCTGCCATGTTTTTCCTTTGTGGAGTGTGTGTCTCTTTGAAGACCTTTTTAACGATGTACACCCCCAACTATTCTCTGTTAGGTCATGTTCCCACTGATATCTGATCCTGACAGGGGTTTTTGTTGCCCTGATATGAACTAAAAAGCTTAATAATAACTCCCAGAGGCTTTGTGGTTACATAAACCTCTCAGAAACCTAGAAGCTATATACTGAGGCATTTAAGACACCTTGGCAATTTAATGCAATACAAGTGCCCTTCAACTAATACTACTGTGTGTTTGAGACACTTACAGTTAAGTTTTCTTCTTAGATTGTTGAAGAATTGTTGATTCAGATGTTAGAGGCCGCAGCATAATATTTGATGTTCTCATTTTGTGCCTCCAGTGTATGTGGTTAAAGTACATCTCAGTAGGTGTTGTTTTAAAGCGATGCAACGTTTCACTGCAGAGGACAGGGTGTGCCTCAACAAGAGAAAACTGGATCAACTGCCCAGCAATAATGCGGTTAAGGAAAGTTCCTTGTGTATTTAATCCATGTTTTTGTTAATTGTTGGGACGGAGCTGTCTCTTTGTTAGTACGGTTGGAGCACAGTTTTTATTCATAAGGGCTGTAACAAATGTCAGTTTTTTACAATTGAAGTCTCTGTCTTGATTCAATTCAAAGCCTTTATTGTCATACAGTATGCATATGCATGCACAGTATAGAGATGGCAATGAAGATCTTAAGTCACAAGCTCCTCTAACAATGTAACATAATATAGATAAGACATAAAACAATAAAACACATTTTAGGATTACATTTAAAGAGTGCAAGAAGAAACAGAGTAGTAGAGTAGATAATAAATGATGTCGCAACCATAAATTAATGGATTAGTATTAAACTCAATAGTTTTTTTCCTTAATAAATCAACTGAATAATGAATTTAACTTTTGCGTCATTGTGCAAACTTTTGTTTTTAAATGACATTCACAAATATGGATTGAATCAGGATATATATTTAGATGAAATTATGATGGAAATAATAACATCCATCTTTTTATTTTTATTTTACATTTTGACTTCTAGACTTTACAACACACTTGAGTCTTTAGAAATGTTTGGACTACATGAATTATAAACAACCCAACCCAAGCACTATTGGAATATAATTCTTCAAAGTATTAAAGTGTTATTTCTTATTATCTGCAATATGCTGGATGGACGAATTAAATAATTAACAATTTAGTACATTTAAAATAAAAAGATGCACAGAATTCTATTGTTGATTAAAACATGTTAATGTCAACATTAATAAAAGATGCTTTGAAGCTTCAGCCCCAGTATCTGATTTGTGTTTTGGACAGCCTTCACCCAGCAGCTCCAGCAGGCTTTGCCCTTCTCCCCAGCAGCAGTGGAGATGTGACAGGTGGAGAAGAGCCTATTCTTAGCGCACTAGACACCGTGATGATAGTGGACACAGACTGGACAGCCTCTCACAGCCACCCTGGAATCTCAGTGTGGACAGTTATGTCCAAAACATATGCCTGCCACTGCCAGTAATTATCTGTGTCCTCTCTCTGTGTATGTTGCATCAAATAATTTCCACGGTTTTACAGTAAATTCTTCTTTCTACAGGCGTTAATAGGTTTGATCCAATCACGAATGAATGCAAAGTGGACTGAATGTTCCTCTTCTGTCTCATCTTCCCAACTCAGAAACTTTTTGCCAGCTCTGCCTCTTCACTCGCCCTCATGTTATTCTGCAGGATCAGTGACTGAGAGGCTTGTTTTCAGAGTCTGAATCTACAGAGAGCGCAGGTCAGCCCACAGCAGCAGGAGTGGCCGCAAGCTGAGATTACTGCTGGTCTGATAATACAGCCATGGAGACTCAACACATGTATTTAACTGGGCGACAGCGCTGGAAGATGTTTTGACACTTCTCAGTGGGTCAATTAAAAGTGAACTGACTGTGTGGTTATGTCAGGGGAGGGTGATAATAAAGTTTAACAAGTTTACTGCAGTCACCATCCCTGTCGTTAGGATGGGGCAACATTAGTCTACAGGATTTAAATAAATGTACTAGGTGCTTCAATCACAAGTCCACAGGCTGTAGAGTGAAAAGTGAAACAATTATCTGCTAAGAGACTGTCTCAAAGCCACACCTCTCTTGTGAAATATTCAGGGTTTTGGGGATTTTTTCTGAGGACTAATTCTCGAGACGAAGAATAGCTTGAAATTTGGCAGGCAGGTTGGTTGAGTGGGAGGACAGCAGCTCTGTCCGCACTGCAAGCCTATCTGATTGTTCTCTGTCTGGCCAGGAAACAGGAAGTGATGAACTATACCTCAATATTTCCTCAGGTTTGACACACGTCTTCCTCCCTGACATCTGTCTTCACCCCGAGTTATATCCTGTTGTTAATTGTTAAGAATGTCATTATAAATTGTTCTCTCTCTTGAAATACGATACCTTTTTAATATAAACACATTACGTTATTAGCATTTCATAATGTTAGTTCCTTTTTTCTTCTTTTGTGTCTACAGTGGGCAGTTTGCAGTTGTCAAACGCTGCATAGAGAAGAGCACAGGCGTCGAATATGCAGCCAAGTTCATCAAGAAGCGTCAGAGTCGGGCCAGCAGACGTGGCGTTAAAAGAGAGGAGATTGAGAGGGAAGTGGACATCCTGCAGCAGCTCCAGCACAACAACATCGTATCTCTACATGACGTGTATGAGAACCGCACAGATGTGGTGCTCATCCTCGGACTGTAAGTCAGCAATCCGTCACAATGCCTGTTAGAAATAGAGCAGAATTTGTTGCCAACATGGAGCTCTCAATTGGGGCTAAAAGAAAGCTCTGTCCAATCAAAGCAGAGGGAACAGACCGACAGTTCCTGTTAGATGCAGGAGAAGACACTGTGTGACATTCAGTCTATTCGTGTGTTCATATAAAAGAAGGCCATGTTTATTGGCTGCCAGCTATTTAAAGGCCGCTCTATACCACGTTGCACCACCTTTTTCAAGTATTTTATTATGCAAAGTAATATAGGTCACAGCTATGGCAAGTTTATTATTACAAACAATTATCTAAAACATCCTGAACCAGCGCTTCCAAATCCTGAGAACTCACTTTAGATAGCGCTCAAGAGAGTCCTTGCTCCAGATGATCTGAGCCCACTAGATGAGTCTCTAAAGTGTGTGTGTGTGTGTGATTGTGTATATGTGTGTTTCACAGGGTGTCTGGAGGAGAACTGTTTGATTTTTTGGCTCAGAAGGAATCTCTCAGTGAAGAGGAGGCCACTCAGTTTATCAAACAGATCCTAGATGGAGTCCAGTACCTCCACTCCAAGAGGATTGTGCATTTTGATCTAAAGGTACAACCTGCTCCTTATCTTGTGTAAATACATGTATATTAAAGTATGTCTTATTATGATGATATCCTTTACCCCCACCTCTACTGCACTGTATACATACAATGTCAAAGATGGCAGGTGTTTAATGTAGCTTTGTGACGGAAGAGTCTCGCTATTTCGAATCGCACATCCTTCCTGTTCTCTGTGGCTGAAGTCCAGACTCTCAGATAAAGACACCACAGGGTTATCTCCTCACTTTCAGAGAGCACTGTCACGCACGCTGCTGATAGTCACTGTCCTGTTTTCCAGCAGCTGAAGCTCCTCATCACTTTAAATTATTTTAGTCTGGCAATTAAGGAAAAAGAACACAAAGTGAAAGGCTTAATTCCAACCAGCCAGAGGCCATGAACTTTAGTCCACAATGAACGATCTGTGCACTCATTTATGCTTAGCCATTTCCGTGAAATCAGGTTAACCAGTTTAGGAAATGGTTGAAACCGTCTCTCCAGTCAGTGTGGACTTTATAGAGCTTGTAACTTTTATATTAATTTAGAGGAACCTACCTACGTACAACACGTGTGTATGTGCTGAACCTTTTCCCAGCTTTGTGTTAGTTGGGATCTGTAACTTCCTGTAGTTGTCCCGACCAATAACAGTCATCATAGCATTAACTCTGTAAAGTGATTTGTTTTCACTATTACTTTTAGAGGGATTGAATAAAAAAACATAACTTATCTTATTTAGCTAAGCTTACATTTAGAGGTGCAAAATATGTAGTTATTTCTTGACTGAGCCAAACCAGCTGCATGGGGAAGCTTCCTGTTTTGTGTACAAACTTGACTGTGATATCAATCTTCTCTTTGCTATCTCTTGACAAGAAAGTGATTAACCACCTTTTCCAAGATGTGGTTTAATATTTGTATCTCTCACGCTTACAAGAAAGAGTGTAACCATTTCAATTTCTTTTTTAATGCTTACACAAAAGTTCGTTTACCCAGGTAACTTGTTTTAATGTTTATGAATCGCCAAACCTTGGTGTCAGTAGAAATCTGCTGACAAATTGTCGTGTGTTTTTCTTTGTTTGCACTTTAGCCTGAAAACATAATGCTGCTGGACAGGAACCTTCGTCTACCTCGCATCAAAATTATAGACTTTGGACTGGCACACAAAATAGAAGCAGGGGCGGATTTCAAAAACATTTTTGGAACCCCTGAATTTGTTGGTAAGTGTTTCAATATGCGATGTGTTTACAATGAAGGACATTTAAAGAGGAGGCTTGGTGTTGGCCTAGCGCTGTTTGTGAAGCAGAGTGTGTCTATTTTCAGCTCCAGAGATAGTCAACTATGAGCAACTGGGATTGGAGGCAGACATGTGGTACGAGCTTTTAATTACCTCTGACTGCTGCCATCCATACATGCTGCACTGCATAACTTTAGATTAACATTGTGCTGTTTGTTCACAGGAGCATCGGAGTCATCACATATATACTGTAAGTTGGTATGATTTGTGATTGGAAATTGGAAATCTGATTATACATAAAGAAACTTTGAGGATGGTCTAAGTGAGTGTGTGTATGTTTTTCCAGTTTGAGCGGTGCGTCTCCTTTTCTCGGTGACACGAAGCAGGAAACGCTGGGAAACATCTCGGCGATGGACTACGAGTTTGACGACGAGCTGTTCAGCAATACAAGCGAGCTGGCCAAGAGCTTCATCAGTCAGCTCCTGGTGAAGGACACGAGGTAAATAACTGATTAACAACTTCAGGCCTAAGGTGAGGTCAGACAACTCCATATAAAGCCCAGTATTGGAGGACTCTGTGCAAATAGTGTGCACATAATATACAAACCTGATCCAACTGAATGAAATGCCACAGAAATCTAAAGCAAGGATATCATTCAGCTTATTTCTTTATACAATAGGATATTTGAACAACAGGCAGTTAACTGCAAAGTAAATAATAATTAAAAGGATGTTGTGTCGTTCCTCGCACAGTGTGATCTTCTTGCTTAACATGTTTTCCTATTCCTTTTATTAAAGTGTGTATACTCAGTCTGCTTTGCGTGTCATGGAGTTGTTTTGGTGTATTTACTGAGAGCCATTTTCCTTCTATCATCGCTTCAGAAAACGGATGACCATACAAGAGGCCCTCAACCATCACTGGATTAAGGTATGCGCTTGATTTATGCGATTATAGCATGTTTTTGTTTTCTCAATAACTAACTCCTGCTACATGCTAAAACAACACTTAACAGTTGATGTCAAAGGTAACACCAGTGTACAGGTTTGTTTCTCATTGAAAAGGAAAATCCATCTTGTAAATGTGCATGCTCACAAAGTTCATGCACTAACTTTATTTACTTTATATTTAGCTTGTTGAAAATATACTTGTCACTGTATATTGTTTCCATCGCTGTACCACACCCTCTTTGTAAAAGCATCAACAATACAATGAAATACACAAAAGTACATAAGTATTAGTAGTAAAACATACTTAAATAAAAAAATATATACACATTAGATACTTTTATATATATATATATATATATATATATATAGGTAAAAAGTAGTTTTAATGCAGATGTCAGAATAATATATACTTCATATTATTATTATTATTATTATTAGTTGTATTATTATACTTTGTTCTCCACTGGTTGGTCTTAATTTATTTGTTGTTTATATTTTGTTTAGTTAATCTACATCTGTAAATTAAGTGGAGTAAAAAATACAATATTGATATATGTAAATACTAGTAGCAGTAAAGGGAAATAGTCCATTTAAGTACAAGTACATCAATATTTTACTTAGGTACATGTGGTAAGTTTCTCTCCACCTCTACACACTTTTCCAGTCTGACATTTTGTCTAGAAATTCAAGCGATTGAACTAAATCATCAAGGTGTCACTACTTGTGGTATTTAACGGCATGGACATTTAACAACCCTCTGTAATGTTGAAGACGTCTACTCCAACATTAGCTGCAGAGATGCATGTGAATGGTGTTTCCCCCGGAGTCTTCGTCCTGTTTGGATTCAAGCATGAAGCCAGGAAACACAACATCCTGTACAGGAATGTCGGTTGTGTTCTTGTGGCACTCTTACCTGCCATGGCTTTCGCTGTAGGGTCACACACTAACCCTGCAGTGCCACATCTGCTGGGATATTCATCGCTGTGTGTGTTTTCAAGATGCAACAATGAGACAGCCTCTCACTCAGTGTCCCCCCCTTCACCCTTCTGTCTGAAGTCCTGCGACTACACGGAAGAGGAAAGCACTGTCCCTGAGGCTGAGAAGAAAGTGGAGCAGCTGAAGACTGAGCGGCTGAAGGAGTACACCATCCAGTCCCATTTCAGTATGCCCCAGAACAACACGTACGCCAACTTTGAGCGTTTTGCACATGTGGTAGAGGACCTCAGTCTGATGGAGACAAGGCTGTCGGAGGTGTCAGAAGCACGGCACACTCTGCAGGGCGATGTAGAAGCACTCCTGGTCCATTTACAACGACAAGGAGGCCTGGTACAAGAGGAGAGCGAGACTGCGAGGAAAGCAGCTGTCTCAAGTCCACTATGAGTTCCGTAAAGTGGAGGCAACCAGGAGGCTGCTGCAGGAGGACGTGAAGATTATCGATGCCAGTCTGGAGAGCATCAGTGGGAAGTACAGCCACAGGGAGAGTCAGCTGGACGCTCTGAGGCAGGAGCTGAACTCTGAGCTGCAGTGGCTGCAGGAGGTGATGAGCTCTCTGCATCCTGAAGGAGCCAAGGGCAGCATCCTCAGCAGCAGCAGCATGAACACGGACGTGAGGCAGGGGCTGCTGCACCAGTCCTGCAGGAGGCAGCTGCATCCTGAGGACAAACAGACACTCACAGAGTCTGGCTAACTAACTCTTATTGACCTTAAAGATCTTTTGAAAATGTTCAACACGTTTTTTTTAGCTGCACAAGCGTTCAAATGTATTATGTGAATGTAGTCTTTACATTTTCTTTCTTTATATATTTTTTATTTTCTTGATTGAACTCTGCAATACGATTCTTTTTTTTAAATATCTGTAAGAGTAGGACGATTTAAAAAGGAAATGTGCTTTTTTTCATTTTTGTTTGTTAGATGTAAAGATGGATGGTACTTTTGTATCTGTTCAGTAACTTTCAAGGTACAGGCAGAAGATGATAATCTTTGCTGCATTCAAATACTGAAGACAGTGGGAAACGGCTAGCCCTTGCTCTAAATAAAAATATATAATCTTAAATTAGCATAATTTTGGCACAATTGTTGTAAAATGTAAGTGATACTTACTGATGATGATGTTCTTATTTGATTAAGCAGGTTTGAAGTCATACATATTAGTCATGAAAGTGTTTACTGTGCAAGGGCCAGAGGAGGACACACATCCATTTGCTATTGAATGTATCAAAAGGGATTTATTTGATTATTTTTCCAATTATAGGAATTTGTATATTGTCTATTTAACAAAGGTTATATATTTGTAAAGTTACATGTTATTGTATTAATTAGTTTTTCTTAACGATTGTTTTAACAGATGTAATGTGCACTTTTACTAATAATTGAATTGAATTTATTTATTTTTTAAAACTTTTGTACTTCTTTCTTGGAGATGTTTTGTTAGATGACAGGAAATACAACATCTATGATAAGACAACATATGTTTCACAATGTGTCACCTCTTTATCAGTGTCAACAGATGTACATGACTGACACTTTTTGAACTTGTGCACACTGACATTTTTCAATGTTGTCTAAAAAAAGGAAATAAATTATCACCATTTTATCTGTATCACATTCTTGTGATTTGTGATCTTAGATTTCAGTATATTACCAGTGGTACCTTAGATTATAGTGATACATTTTGTCATTTGACATTAACATGTAAGATACTACCTCTGTTATTGTATTCCTCACTGTGTCTCTGCAGCCGAAGGATACCAGGCAGGCCATGGTGAAGAGGTTGTCTGTGGTCAACTTGCAGAACTTTAAGAGACAGTATGCCAGACGCAGGTGGAAGGTAAGTAAACAGTTAGAAAATGTCCTTAAAGCAGTTCATGATGTCACTTCATAATGTCACTTCATAATGTTTTAAGACTAATTATATTTGTTTTCATCTGTTCAACAGCTGTCATTCAGAATTGTGGCTCTGTGCAACCACTTAACAAGGATCATGAAGAAAGGCAACAAGCTGCCTGAGCAGGACGGGGTAAGGACTCACAGTATTAAAGCTTAAAGCTCTGGCTCAGTCTAGAAATATCATTTTTTTTAATTAGCTTCCTGCCTGAGAGTTAGATGAGGAGATTGAAACAACTCCCACGTCTGCACAGTTTATGAAGCTACAGCCAGCAACTACACTGAACAAAAATATAAATGCAACACTTTTGTTTTTGCTCCCATTTTTCATGAGATGAACTCAAAGATCTAAAACATTTTCTATATACACAAAATAACCATTTCTCTCATATTATTCACAAATCTGAACAAATCTGTGATAGTGAGCACTTCTCCTTTGCCGAGATAATCCATCCCACCTCACAGGTGTGGCATATCAAGATGCTGATTAGACAGCATAATTATTGCACAGGTGTGCCTTAGAATGGCCACAATAAAATGCCACTCTGAAACGTGCATTTTTGCTTTATTGGGGGGGGTCTGGGGGGGTCCGAAAACCAGTCAGTATCTGGTGTGAGGGGTAGGGTTAGGGTAATGTTGTGAATCGAGTGGCCTGTGTTCGTCGTCCATAACATACGCCTGCCCATACCATAACCCCACCACCACCATGGGCCACTCGATTCACAACATTACCCTAACCCTAACCCTACCCCTACCCCTCACACCAGATACTGACTGGTTTTCGGACCCCCCCCAGACCCCCCCCCAATAAAGCAAAATTGCACGTTTCAGAGTGGCCTTTTATTGTGGCCATTCTAAGGCACACCTGTGCAATAATCATGCTGTCTAATCAGCATCTTGATATGCCACACCTGTGAGGTGGGATGAATTATCTCGGCAAAGGAGAAGTGCTCACTATCACAGATTTTTTCAGATTTGTGAACAATATTTGAGAGAAATGGTTATTTTGTGTATATAGACAATGTTTTAGATCTTTGAGTTCATCTCATGAGAAATGGGAGCAAAAACAAAAGTGTTGCGTTTATATTTTTGTTCAGTGTAGTTAGCTTAGCATAAAGCCTGGACACTAATTGATTTCAAGCATCATTGACTTCCTGGAGTCTTGTTATCACTCTGAGGATAGGAAACCAATGAAGGCTTCAGGAAATCATTCTTCCCAGCCAATAAATAATCCAGCACAAAACCCCCTCGTAAAACACAGATTTTGTGTTTACACTAAACAAACAATAAAGGTTGCAATTTGTGTATGTGAGGTGCTGGTCGGTGTTACATTCAGACAATGCTAGGCTAGCAGTTCCCCCATTTCCTTTATGCTAAGCTAACTGGCTCCTGGATTTAGCTTCATATAGACCTGCTGTACTTTTAGAAAAAGAGTGGTATCAATCTTCTAAAACTGAGTCTCAGTTAGAAAATAAACATTTATGTTCAATTTGAGAGTAACTGTGATGTTTCATGTTGGAAGTTTTGTTCTGCAGATTTCTTCCTACTGAATTTCCCCACGGGGATTAACCTGTTAAGCCCCAATGTCCCCCTCGACGGGTCCTTTTTTTTTCCTTCACGACACTGTGTCTCAGGGTATCTTAATATTTAAGAACCTATTAATGTGTTATACCAGATTAACGGGAATAATCTCAGCTAACTGACGATACAAACCATTTTTATCAAAACAAAACACAAGTCTCATAAGAAGCATCTAATGGCGCGTTTCCACTGCAGGCCTCGCTCGGCCTCGCTCGGTTTGGTTAGGCCTTATTAGGCCCGGCTCACTTTAATGCTGCGTTTCCATTACAGTTTAGGAACTGGGGCAGTTACTATAGTAACGCAGTGTAGGCGGAGCCGTGACGTCATCTTCAATGAGAGCCCCAGAAAAACAACACAGCCGTTAGCTCTTAGCACTCGGAGCTCACAGCTCTTCATATCTGTTCAGAAACTTGACAAAAGTTAAACAAGTACAAACCACAGACTGCCTGTGTCATGGCGAATACAGTCGCTGGTTTATTTATGTCTGTATAGGCCGTTGTTGTGAGTGTGGACGGTCGGAGCATATATAACGTTAGCTTAGCCAAGCTACATTTAGAAAACACGCATTTTAAAAGGGTTTTTCGCCTGCCATCTGTCTGCAGACTTGTCAAAGCATTAATTCATGGTTTTTACTAACCGGTATCAGTATGTTGTTACTTCGGCATCATTTTGAAACGTGTATTACAATTAATTCACGGTCAAATATGTTCATCTTGTTGTAGTTGTAGCCCCCTTGCCAGCGATTCTCTCTCTAGTTTAGCATACTCAGCCCGACTCAGCCTGGTTGTTCCTGGCCCTAGAACCACGATTTAGTCGGGCCAGAAAAAAGGTGAAAAAGTAGCCCCGGGCCAAAACTAGGCCAAGTGGAAACGCAACCAAAAACGGGCTCGGCACGCTTAAAGCGAGCTACCCGCTGCAGTGGAAACGCGCCATAAATGACCCCTGAGCGAAAACGCACTTTGGCACAGAACTCAAGATAAAAGATACCCTTATTACTTATTGTAGCTGCACATACAAGATATTAGGTATATATCATCACTGAGTGATCCGAACTCGCGACAGGGGAAGCAAACACAGACATCACAACACGTACCTTTACGGAGCTTTTACAGGAGATCGTCTCACCGTAGCTGTCAATCTGATCAAAAGACTTGTTCAATGGCATTAAAACGAGAAAAACGCGGCTGAATCGGTTAATCCATAGGTTGATAATGTTTCTGTGTAATAATTTTTTTAATTTATAATCCATAATTCAATTTTTATGTAAAAATCGGAGAGTAAAAGTTAGCTGCTAATGGTAGTCACCAGAGTTATCGCAGCTTCCGGTCTTGGCTATGCGGCGGTCTCACACACACATTACCAAATAAGGAGTATGTGGGAGTTCCCCTCGATTCCATTGGCTCTGATGGGCCAGAGATAGGTCAAATGACCCCAGAAGTGGATTTTTTTTTGCTAAATCTCTCTAAAAAGGTCAAATTTAATCAATCTTGATACAGGGTACTTATTATATGTTGTAGTTTGGATTCCTAAAGCTTTTAGTCTACTATCCCATCATTCAAGGGTGGTTTTCACTATAAGTAATTAATTTTTTTTGGACGGACACAATAATATAATTTTTTTTTACTGTGTTCAATCTGAATTTACTTTAAAATAAAAACATCTATATTGATTCTGAAACTTCTACATCCAACTCACAGGTGTAACCTTGCTTTGAGAAAAAAGATTATTCATTTAACCCTTTTAGAAGGGAAGATATGGTCATTTGTTCTGGGAATGTCATTTTCGAGCCTGAGACCTGAAAAACAGGTATATTATCTTCTTTGCAGTATTGATGTGCGCAGCATTTGTAACGCAGGGAAATTAGTTTTAAGTTGGATATTCAGTCCGGTTTCTTCCTCAGTTTCACAGAATCTGGAGTGAATGTCTGTTGAATATCCAACTCTAACTGTACCTTGTTGGTATTTGCTGGTGTTTTGCAGTGAGTAGTTTAGATAACAGATTTTGTTTTTAAAACAATGATTTAATTGTTACATTTTTTTTTTAGCTCATAAAACTGTGATAACCTGCTGTTTCTCAACCTCAATATGTTGATTGTTTCAGAGGGATTGTGATAGTGACCAAGAGGAAGACATCCCGAAGAGGAGACCGAGGGGCAGAAAGAGAAGCAGCACTTCCTGAGAGCAACAAGGGCATCATTTGACATGTTCCTGTTGCAAAACAGTTCATCTGCAACTTTTTGAAACACACTGTGCAGCTGCAACTTGTCATAAGAATAATTATACATTATTTGTTTGAATTGTATTGATCCAGACAACTTGCTTGTCTTAGTGAAACACAAAACCAGCATATCATGTGTGTTGATATCAATACATTTCTAAATTCAAGCTATCTTTTTTTGTCCTTGTTGACAGGAACTAAGATGCCAATGTTAGCACGTCCTCAAGAATGTAGGCAGCTTCCTCTCATAACTGTGGTCTTAAAAGTCTCTCAGCTGTTGTCTAACATCCGAGTATTGACACACTTAGATACTTTTATTTTTGTTGTGCTGTCTGCATGTGTGGATGTAAAATAATGTGCAACGCACTGACAGAAAAACAATATGGTAAACAAATGTTTACATGTTGTGCTTAACATACAGCAATGTCTCTGTTAAGAGACTGTTTTTATTAACATTTTAATTTGCAATATCACAATAATGTGCCTGTACACAGTGTTATCTGTTTACTGTATTGAATATAGATTATTTTAAATGACTGTCAAATACTTGTCACCAATGGGGCATATTAACATAAAAAAACATTTTACTGTTTTTTCAAAACCATTTTTAGGCCCTGGTGTATTTATCTTGTAAATATACATACAAATCGGAAGTTAATGTCTTAATTTCACTGTTATTTGAACTTTAGCTCAGTAAAAGAAGCAACAATGTATTAAACAGGTCCTTTTTAGTTAACTTGTATGTACTGTATGTATTGTAAATTCTAATTTTGTTAATAAATTAATGAATATGACTTTTTGTGAGTTCAATAAAGTGAAAAGAAAAAACGATGTCTCCATCAACATTGTAGTCATTCCTTCGGGAGCTATTTGGGGTTGAATATATTGCCAAAGATCACTGAGGTTGACTGCAGGAGCTTGGGGTTCGAACCATTGACCCTCTGATTTTAGCCCCATATCCACAGACACCCCCCTATTGTTGTGAAAATTCAACAGTATTAAATGAAAATGTCCTTTCCTTTGAATATCTTCCAGGTCATTTGATCAATTGACTCTAAATCAATGCAGCATTGTATCACTACACTGGATAAGTAGGACACCACTCTTATATTTAAATGACTAAATTACTTTCTATTTGATATGATTGTTATTGTAAAATAATCTGCAGTTTTAGAACTTCCTACGAGACATGTCGTGCCCTGAGGCATGTTCCTGTTGAACCAAAATAAGATAAAACACAAATACCACCTGCACTTTGTATAAAACATTATCTCAACATCAATGAGCACTACTTGTGATAGTGAATTTTCCCCTGGGCACTGATCCATTATTTAGCCTCACAAAAAAAATATTGTTTGAGCCCAGTTGGGCTGAACGAGATTGGAGGGATAATTTGACCTGAACTAAATACACTTTTGGCAGAGACACGATGTAGGCCAGTTACAGACTTATGCTAAGAAATTGGGTCTGAAATATGTGAGCCTGTTTGTCCTCCAGTATCAGAATAAGAACACAAGCCAGTGTTGCAAATTAAGTATAAGGGGTTTAAAGATATATTTATACGGCCGCTAAATAAAGTTGGGTGACTTACCAAAGACACATAACAAAGAGAATGTTATTAATAAAACAAAGGAGGCTTTAGTGTGGGTAAAGCTCCAAAACCACAGAATCTTGCATTTCCCATAATTCAGCCAATAATTTCAATTCATTTGACCATCCCTTCCTAATAAACACCCACATCTTTCTCATTCTTAACTCCCTGACCCCAGTTTAATATGTAGTCTTCCAGCTGAAGCAGACTCAACCCTGTTGACATCATCAGGCATATTTTCCAGACTTTTTTTATTTTGTTTATGCTCTTTAAAACAACTGTTTTCCCCATACTGAGTAGACCTCGTCGCTATAAGAAAGTAAACTGAATTTGTGTATACAATTGATATTAATGCTTAAATCTATATGAACATGTATTTTTGTGTTTTCAGCTTATAATGTATGTAAATGAACATACACAGACAGCAGGATACGTAATACACTCAATCCACAGCTTTATCCTGGATTGGGAAAAGTCTGACTGCACCTACTGTTTTCATACTAAATATTTGACTATGTAGGCCTACTAGCATTCCTTCAATTAATATGTTAGTATATTGTGAAATATTTAACAGGATTTTCTTTATTTCTGTTATATTGAACAATAAAAGTGTTGAAAGGTCTGTCTGTCAACAAGTACACTATTGACTTCTACATCTCAAGTCCTTAACAGAGCATACAGGGACTCTCCAATTATATAGCAATGTGTTTCTGTTTAATGACAACCTGTGAGTTACTGGCATAGGATGAGATAACAGAAAACATTTAAAGCACACCCTGGTCACTCGTCCGTATGAAGCGTCTGTAAATATTTCAGCCATGTCTCACTGAAATATGACCTGAGTCCTTTGTAGCTTTGTCATTGATGGAGAGTGAAATGACATGGCTTCCAGGCAGCCGTACAGTCTGGTCTGAAGCATCTCATGTATCAGAGTCACAGCTGGTATGTTAGGATAAATTATGTGGTGGACCAGCGACAGGGTCCGGGATCAAGGGATTCCTGGAGATTTACTATTGGGAGGATGTGATGGATGGGTCACTCTCAAAGACAAATAAGGACTGCTGTCCAAAATCATATGCTGCATATCAGTAACACAAAACTATGTCCTTCATCGAAAGAGATACAGATGTCTAGAGGCAGTTCTTGACTCAGTGACGTGTCAGGAGGCCAGGCTGCAATTTGTAATGTGGTTTGCATTAAGAAGGCATAATCCAATAAATCTCCTCAGATCAGTTAGATGGTACTGTAAATGACATGCAGGTGAATCTGTGTGACATGGTGACTCTTGTTATCATATCATTGACACTAAAAAAATTCAGGCACACGCATAAGCCAAATGTTGACTTTTTAGAAAACACGTTACTGTTATGGTAGTATTGGGTTTCTGCTGAAAGTGAATCTGTATAATCCCACCCTGTTGAGACTTTGAGATCATTGCATTAACTGGTGACACGTAATGTATTTGTTTAAGATTCAAACTTTGTTCAGAGAAGTAGCTTTCCAGTGATATTACGTTTTTCTTTCACAATGGTGCCACCTAGTGAGCAGAACAGCCATGTGTGATATGAGCAACAGTAGAAGTGAAAATAGTGATTTGTTACAGGAAAATAATTAAATTTAATAAAATTAAAGCTACAGTATGCAAATACACATGATTATTACACATTCATTGAAGAGCGGTTTGTATTGAAGAGAAGAAAAATAGCATTGATAAAGTAGGCCGACAATGGAAACATTTTTTTTTTTTTTAAAACTCATTTCAGCATTCAAGTGATAAATTGTAAGCCTTTAACATGCATTTTAGTATGTTAATGTAAAAAAACTAAAAAGAGTAGCATAAATGTATCCTTAGGATATATACATTTATATAAATGAAATATGCAGCTATAAGTGAAAGAATGGTGAAGCTTAGCTTTCTTCTGGTACATTTGGTTCTGAGTGGACAAGTTCTATATTTGCAATTAACTATGTCACCTGTATAGTGTATCTTATTTCCTGCAAGCATCTGATGCTCAGTGAACAGAGTCACGGTGGAGGCTGCGTAACTCTGGAAACAGACCTGAGGACATTAATCATGAATGCCAGCCTCTCACTTTATCTGTGTGATCATTAGGCCATACTTTAACATGAAGATCACTCTCTGGAAATGAGCTCCAGGAGGCTGCTTCCATTATTCATACATACAAGAGCTCTGTCTGCCCTCTATTCTTGGAAATGGGACTTAATGAGGGGCGGCCATATTTAGGCTCTGTGCTCTTGATATGTCATCGTGTTGCATGTCTTTGTTACAAGTCTCAACCCTCACGTGATTCATCCTTTAATCCGCTACCCAACACCTGCATGATTAGACCCTAGAGAGGTGACAGTTGTTGCTCATTTGGAGGCAGACTGTACTTGTAAAGGAGAAGCCTTACATTTCATTGGTTGACCTTTCTATCAAAGTTGTGTTTTGCGGGCATAAAAAAAAACTGGGGATTTGACAATGCTCAAAAGTGGGGGACTGATTCATGCTACAGACCTTTACTCCCTCAGGCTTATATATTTGTTCAAGGCAATATTATTATTCCTAGTTAATATGAATACTGCATGATCCATGTTTTCACAAATTTGTGAAATCATTCAATCAAAGTGTGTTTCTATCTTTTACACAAGCTATCTCCAGTAAGCGTCACTGCAGTCGTGTGCCCCGTCCCCGTCAGTGATCCTGCAGCCGGTGTCAAACCCCTGAGAGTCACCGAACTCACCCCTCCTGGAGCTCACTCTGCCAGTAACCTGAAGTGGCTCCACCCCTCGCCCATCTGCCCCCCCGCAGCAGAGCAGATTTCACAAATTCAGAACCTTTTTACAGGACTATTCATTATTCTTGCCAAGAAGGAGATGTCATCTCTGATGTGGTTGTTGTGGTTCTTACAGTATTTCCAAATAATCCAACTGTTGTGATGCTATAATCTGCTGCTCTATCAAATTAAAATATGTTCACGTTTTGGATGACATTCAGAGCCATACAGATACTGCCCAATCCCCCAGTGCCCAAAGATGCATTCAAAACTACTTTAACTAACTTAAATAATAACACTAAATAATAGTACATTTTCTATAAAAAAAAACTGCAATAAAATAAATGTTTAAATCATATAAAGCAATATAATGCTCCAACAACACCCAAAGTGACGGATCCCAAATGTTCTTTTAAAAACAAGTTTGCATCTTTCAGTAACATCAAAAGCTCACAAGAGTTCAGTTCAGGCTCGATGTTGCCTCGCTCACCTAATTGGTCTCGGAGGCCTGCATGTTGAAAAGCGGTAAACAAATTAAACCGGAAGAAATGCAGATAGTGTGAAAGTCAAAGGAAATGACTTTCACTGTGTTTTGTTGAATGGCTTTCAGATATGATGAATCATGACATTCATTCACGTATAGGTTAAATGTTCTAAACTGCTCTTAGCGTGTTCTGTGGAGCATTTTTCATTTCTTTAAGAGTCTCCCCTACAACTAATTGTGTATGACAAAACCTTCACATAATGGTAAACCTTTTGAAAAGTCTTTCACTTCACTCTGCATGTACTGTTCATCATTAGCTGTTGTTGCTCTTTGAACATTGTTCTTCCTTTAAAAAGAGCTGAGGATAACCTATTGGAGACAGCAAAATCGATGGTAATGCTATGCTATGAAGAGGAGAGGCCACTGTTTTCTGTTTCTGTGATCAATCTGCTGTAGACATTCGGCTCCAGAGAGTACTGTCACTGCAATGTCAGAAAGAAAACTCAGTTCACCTTGAACCACAATGATTTATCCACATCAATATACTGTGGAATGAAACATATATTATAAATTATAGGATACAACAATACATTTGTTTTGTCACATAATGACAAACCAGCCCTCCCCAGTGTGTATGCACAGTCCTCAGAGTTTTTATGGAATATCCCCAGGGAAAAGCAGCTGCTGCAGCACCTTCTGTGTAACCTGCTCCTGTTATAATTGAGCAGGGGATATTTTGGGTTCACGTGTCTCTAATTAAAGGTGTTCAGTCTTCTGACAGATGAGACCATTATCTCTTATGAATGAATCACAGTTCATAATATCATAATGAGTCCAGTCCTTGCTTTGCAGGAAGGATATATTGGTGTGTGACTGAATGTTCTGAAACATCTCCCTAAAACACCCAAAGCTCTTACGGCCGCGAAGAAACCAGAGTTTTATTTGGTTTTTATGGACTCAGAAAAGAGATGTAATG